GCCCCCGGGGGGCCACGATTAGCAATTGCGAGCCCGGCGCTGTACTAGAAGCAGCGGGCCTCGTAGTCTAGTGGTTAGTACGTCGGCATATGCATCGTAGCCGGCCAGACGAGTGGGATGCGACAAAGATTAGCGGCTCGAATTCTACCGGGTCCGTTCTGCAAGGCGGTGGTGCGACCAAAGTGTTGCGTTTCCAGCGGTGCTTGGCCAGAGCTTTGTGTTACCAATGTGCTTTGCTCTTTGCGCTTCCTTCCTCCGCTCCCTTTGTTTGGGGCTGGCGGTTTTTGGTTCTGTAAGGGAAACTTCCGCCACCGCGGGCTAATCCGTAAACCGCTAATCCGTAAACCGGGTAATCATTAAGGATTAACTTGGATCAGGCTAGATATATAGCTAATATAGTTCTATAACCCAGAGATTGCTTGATATGCTGAGACCCCGAGCGACCAAAGGCCTGGCACAGTGTCGCAAAACTGCCTCAGGAACCTTATGGATCCTTATGGCATGTCGTGGCTGAATCGAAACCATGTTGTTTCTATCATCTGGTTGGGAAATCTTACACTTACTTACGAGCTATATTATATTAAAATATAGTATATATAGTAGCTTCCTGGCTCCACATGTTACATTGATTATGGATACCCATGACTGCGAACAGCTCCCTCCTAGCGACCAGGATGTGGCGTCCACTGAGGCGTACACCTTCATGAAACACTACACTGTTGGAACGGAAAACCCTTTTTTGAGTACACAGTATACGCTTAAAACCTCTATATCAATGTGTAAATATATAATAATAATAATAATAATAATAATAATAAATAATAATAATAATAGTAATATATAATAATAATAATAATGATGATAATGATAATGATAATAATAATAATAATATTAATATATATATATATTCTATTACAATACACCTATTACAGCGCAGGCATCTCCACTTCCAACCTCCAAGTAGTCGGGACTGCAAACTGCCTGGAGTATACCATCTTCAAGCGGCAGGGGGGTGTTTGATTGCGGTCATGTTTGGGTTTTCCTAGGCTTTTAGATGATTTGAGTGTCATTTTAATTGTTGTTTTAAACGCTCGTCGTATGATTTGTTTAAAGTTTAAACGCCTGAGTGGTACAAGCCACCGCACTTCCCTAGACCACTGCACGTTTGTTTTGGCCACTGCACATTTCTAGCCGCGTCTGCTTCAGAGCAAATATGTCCATACTTTCTTGGGGCAATGGAGGAGCTGATGTGGAATATGTCCCCACATTATGTGTGAAAAACCCTGGAGGACCCTGACCATTTGCCAAGCATTCCCAAGCCAACACTCAAGGCGTTTTTTCGCTGATGGATGCGTACCAGGTAGGGCCACAAAGAAGCTAAATCTGTGCTCTCATATGATCATATGCGGGCTATCCTGACATTGCTATGTACCTATGAGCCAAAAAGCATCAAAAAGCAACTGAACTTGACTGGAGATGCTTCAACGGCATCAAGCGACGCCTCACTCCGTCTCATCACTTTTCAGGAGCCCCAGGGCTGTCTCAGCAAAGGACAATGGGCTCATGCCATCAATATCAGCTTCAGAGGCATCTGCACCAGCCTTCATCAAGACCTCAGCAATCTCCGAATTGCCTTGCAAGATTGCGTAGTGCAGCGGCGTCCGAAGTAATCCTTGGCCCGGGAGGTCCAAAAGGGAAAACCCGGGGTGCCTGGACCATGGGATGGGATAGGAATGCCGAGATGAGAAACATCGCAACGCGACCCGCAGTATTCAGTCAAAAACCCATCGGCTTCCTGGAAAGCGTTTGGGTTTTCAAAATTCCAAGTCTTGCACTGGATCTATGTGTCGGTGGGCTTTGGTCACTATGGTCACTTTGGTCCCAAGGAATCCGCTTTTCTTCGGTGGACAAAGTTCCAGACCATGTGGCGGGATGTGTCTACCGATGTTGGATGATGTTGGGGAAAAATCAAACCATGCTCTTACATCTTACCCTCTGGTAAACTAACATAGCTATGGAAAATCACCCTGCTATTAATGGGAAAATCCACTATTTCTATGGCCATTTTCAATAGCTATGTTAAATTACCAGAGGGTACTGGCAAAGAATCTACTAGTTGACACCTCATGACCCTCATGATAGTTATGGCAGCTATGGATTAATAAGTGGCAGTTGCTGATTGGCTCTGATGAGGCAAAACCGATGGGACTGGAGCGCATGGCCACATGGCTGGTCAAAACTTTGGCACCCAGGTGAACATCCAAATAGCTGGAAGGGTCCCACATGGATATCGATGACAAGAAACGATCTTGAGCATTCAATGGCGATCCACGTCTTAGCAATAACTTCGTCACGTCCAAATGTCCCCCTGCAGCTGCCATGTGCAGCGGAGTTTGCTTGGAACTTGAGATCCCATCCACAATGGCACGTTGATCCAGTAGCCACTCCATCATCGAGGTGTGTCCATTGGCAGCCGCGTGGTGAAACAACCGGTTGCCCCAGCGATCTGATGCGGGTGTATCAGACGGAATCATATGTGACAGTTCGAGCACGACCTGTCGATGTCCCGCCAGCGCCGCCCAGTGCACCGGATCTCTCCGGTCCTTGTCAGGCCGAAAGACACCTTTCGTGCCTTCCAAGCGCAACATCTTCATGAGCCGAATGAAGTGCATCACTAACTTTTCGGAGCCTGGGCCTGTTGCCTTGTGACTGGCTTGGAGAGCCGTAACCAATGGAGTTCTGCCCCACTTATCCACTTTGACCAGCAGATCTTTGGCCTCGCTACTCCGCAAGAGTCGCTTCATTTCGCTGATGTTGTTCTTGGCCACGGCCGCGTGCAAACGACTCATGTTGTAGGTCTCATCCAGTGCTTCTTCATCCTCGGACCCCTCGGACCGCAGCTCCACACCCTCCAACAATGCAAAGGCACTGAGATGATTGGTAAGATGAGCCCATTTCGCAGCTGTGCGATTCTCTCGGTCCTGGTGGGATGCCACCGCCCCATGTTTCAGAAGCAAGCGAATCAGCTGCAGATGTCCCCTGCGCGCAGCCCACTGCAAGGGTTCACAGCCAAATTCGTTCTCCTTAGCATCTACCTTAGCCTTGGCATCCAGCAGTCGCCGAGCAATGTCCTCGGAACCTTTCAGGGCTGCCCAGTGAAGTGCTGTCCAACCGAGTTCATCTGGGGCCGACACCAGTTGGTTTGAACCTTGCCAGGCCAAAATCTCTTCAACCACTTTTTTGTGGCCAAACTCCACGGCTTCATGCAGGGGGCTGCGGCCGAAGCCATCCTGAGCCAGGGAAAAATATGGAAAAATGAGACAATCATCAAGGCATACCCATGGCTGCGAGCCGTCTACATGTGTCAGGGCCCCCTTATAGGAAGGACCCCCCATCGGTTTCCAACCCCAACAAACTATAGATGATGTATCCACCATAAATCCAAATTGGCATAGTCAAACCAACTTGCCATGGCCCATGCGACCCGTGTCCTCTGCATCATAGGAGTAGCCTAGGTCTCCAGCGGCCGTTGCCAGCAGTTTCTGCACACTCTTGGCATCGCCCGAACGCACAGCCCGCTCCAAAGGCGACAACTCGCCGTGCACTGCCAGGATGCATGCAACGGCAAAAACGACCGGCAGCATGGCCAGGTCAAGTCAGAAGCGGCCCAGATTCATCCATAAAAAACCTGTAGTATTCACAGGGCAATGTAAGCAACTGGCCCATGTCTGGAGACTTACTGTGGAAGTTACATGGTTAGGAACCAACAAGGGGAGTTGCTGGAGCTTGTGCACTTTGGACTGCATTGGAGGGTCCACCGCGGAATCTGCGATTCCAATGATGAAATATATAAGGTAAGTGACCCAAGTGCAGTGCTTCACTTGCAAATGCGCGCAAGAGCCTTCACCCAGTGCTGCATGCATTGTCTTATCACCATGAAGGGTAGGCCTCCCAAAATCTTTCAGAGGGCAGGTGTTGCCCAAAAATTATGCAGCCCAGAAATCTCAGTGCTTCGGACAATTATTTTCCATGATTTGAAGTTGTCTGCAAATGGGATACACAAAATCTTCTTGGATAAGCATGGATTTTCCCACATTCACTACAAGTAATGTGGCAAACCCACCCAATCCCCGATTGGGGATGGTATTCGCCAATCCCCCCCTACAATGGGGCTCCTAAAACCAGACCGGGGGATGGCATACCCCATGTATAGATGTTCTATTGAAAACCACATGTATGTCGGTGTTTCATGGTGTTTCCATGTGTTTCCATAATAAAATTGCCATTCTAAGATTCTAGGCATCCCGTTATGTTTGGGCTCCACGCTATTTTTCCATCCCCGCTCTACGAAAAAAAAATCCGTCCGCATCGGACTGAGATCCGTGGCCCAGCTGGGTAAGAGCTCCAATCCATCGCGTTTCGTTCCATACCTGGGACAAGGTGAAGGACGTGCCAAAGACCCCCAGGCTGGAACATAAGTGTCTAACTGTGTCTACCTTGTGCTGATATCTGTAGACGTTCACGTTTTCCCCCCGATTTGGGAATGCACAACTCCTGACACCAAGAAAAAAATTAAAAGAAATGATATATAATTTGATGGCCTTTGTAAATGATATTCACCATTGAATGCATTGATATATCTTCCCTATCCCATGAAATTACAAAGCCTATCCCATCAAGGGTGTGATATTCACCATTGATATAGCCTGGAATACCTTAAGCGATGTCAAAGATGTGGTCCCAGAGGCTCCAAATGGCAGACTGATCAAAGCAACCGTTGAGTTCCCAGCTGACCCAAATTGATAGAGACCTGCAGGCACCGCTTGGAAAATGTCGCGGGCAGGGCACGGAACATTCTTTCGGTGTTGCTCACACCCTCCCATGACAGTGGAAGACCTCTATCTGCTGTAGCAACATGATACAAGCGCAGCTCAAGTTAAAGAATGCTTTACACATGAGCACGAATGTGACAAACCCTTGCATCGGAATACACCGGAAAACAAACGGTGTTTCTCCCTGTTTTCCCCGTGACTTGAGGATCAGTAATGTCCGATGCTAAACAGCTTCAAGAATGAGGGCAGTGTGGCATTTAAAACCACATTTCTGCCGGCAAGCGTGAAAGTGAACTGGGGTGCTACCAAAGTAGAATGCAAAAGCATGTCCTATATAGAATATACATATATATAATGTATTATATATATATTATATAATATTATATATATAGCACGTGGTCATGTGGTTGCAAGTTGTGCATCTATGCTACACTTAAACAAACATCAAATGATTCCCAGGGAGAACTCCAAGCCACCCATCCCTTCTGCCGACAGCTCCGCCTGTCGCCCTGCTGCACCCCCCTGTGTTGTTCTCAGCATCCACTCGTGGAAAGCCTGGCTTCCACAACTCGAGAGAATTTCATATGGAAACTGTGAAAGCCAGCACAAGATTCTTGGCACGTTTTTTGGTTTTACATATGTATATATATATATACAGTATACACACCAAAAAAAAAAAGTTTGTGTGTGTGTGTTGCTCTTGATTGTCTGACAGGCACATGGATTCATGGTGATTCATGTATACATATATATATAATATAATATAATCTTAGCGATGTCTCAAGTTCCCAGCTACGTCATGCTACATCTCTTCTCACTCTGCCTCCCCCGACTGCGAGCTGAACCAGCTCTCTGATGGCCTCCGGGTGTTGCGGGATGCCCATCGTCTCAACAGCCAAGCTTTGCTGAAAAATAGGAATTCCAGGATCCTAAATTGGAGATACTGTACCATATAAGGCCATATAAGGCCATATTTCATCAGGATCCCTCACATAGCCCTCGCATAGGCCTTATATATCCTTATATATGGCAGGTAGCTTCAATTTAGGGGTTCCTGAAATGGCCATTGATTTGTTTCGACCATTTCGAACAAGCTATTGGTATATGCCGTACGGCTTATACACGCTTATGCATTGATTGATATTGATTGACATCTGTGGGAATTTCTGAACATTCCAGTGATTGCTAGTGATAGTGGCTGTATGCGGTTTCTGTATATTTTAAATGATGAAACATGATATGCGTCCATATGTGGCTTCCATGTCGAACCACTAATACATTCAGAAATAGTCTGACAGTACAATCGAACTACTTGAGCATCTTGAGCCGCAAAAGACTCCTACCACTTACGCTATTCAGTTATAGCCCTAAAAATGCGACCCGGTAGGCTTTCGCTGGGCATCCCGAACAAATGCTTCTTGGGCACAAAGTCACCAGGTCTCAATTCCTTAGGACGTCGACACGTGCATCAGAACGTGGCATCTCACCGAAATTCAAGAGCCGGACAGCCCATTCTTCGGCAGACGCCTTCATCGGATCTCAGGTGTGTCTGAGAATCGTTTTTTTTTCGGTATACCCCGATTTCATGACACATTTAACAGGGAAAATTATGATAAACCATGACAATCATGATATATCATGATAAACGGTTGGATTCATGATAATTTAGAAACATCTTGCTTTCAGACAAACCCATGTGCAACAAGCCCCTTGTCTGTGCGACCCCCAGTACCTGGAATGATGAGAACTCTTTCCTCACTCCTCCAACGAATTTCGAAATTCTACAAACATCCAAGAACGAATGTCAGGGCCCTTTTCTCATCATCGGACTCTCGGCACCTCCGAACTTGCCCTGCCGCGATTTGTCACTGCCTCCAGGCGCTGCAGTTTGTCACTGGCCAAGGCACCTCAAACCATCTTCCCCGGCCCCGCCATGCCTGTTCCACCATCCGCAGGACCAAGCTTGCCCGTGCAGCGTCTTCCTGGCATGGCGCCAGAGATCCCAGAAAAATGGCTGGCTGGAAAATGCCACCATTTAGTTCGATGATTTTCCCAGCTACCACCACTTCGGGGATTTCCCATATTTTCCTGTGACTTTCCCATCAGTTTGCATGTTTTCCCTTGGCGCAGAGCGGTTCCCATCGAGCCCTGAGCCCCCTGAGCTCCCGGACACGAAGCCACAATGTGATCCCTGAGCTGCAAAGCTTGGCGATGTTTCAGTTGCAACCCTGAAAAATCCATGAATTCTATGATCAGTCCGAATCATGACATCCCAAATTGAGATAAAAATGAGCATCTATATATAATCTCGATAATATCACATATATATATATATACAGTATATAATCACCAACCAGATAGAAAGCCAGATAGAAATCACCCACAGTTCCAAGATCTTGGCACCCAACGGCTCCGTCGCGATTCAAAGGCATCAAAGAGTTCCACCTGGAGTGGAGAACTCCGAATCTTTTGCGGCCATGGATTGATATACCCTGTGGTCGTCAAAACGTGGCTTGCCGGAAAATCCCCCGTTGAATTCGATGTTTTTCTCCTTAAACGCCATATATTTATCTGGAATTTCCAAGCGCGAGCGTTGATGATAATTACCCGAGGATATGGTTTTTCTTGCAGGAAACCAGGAAGAATAATTCCCAACAATATCACCAAGTCTGGGATTACTATGGATTACCAACCCTTCACAATATGATTCAATGGGCAATGGGGAGACAACCCCAAACGCAGTCGATCCAGTCGAGTGCCCCACCTCTCCAACTCCCAAGCACCCAGCCTCTCCTAGCAGCGCAGCCAGTCACTATATCAACCACTACCACTAAACCACAGTATCGTGAAGGGGGCGGTTAATTATGGTGGTTATATATATAATTATTCATACAATTTATGTAAATTTTAAATGTTACTTTTATATAATTATAATTCGTTTATACCGTGACTATACAGGATCATGGACCATAGATCATTCTGATTTTGACAAGCCTTTGGGGATCTAGTTGGGTATGGATCAAAACCCAATCCTTTTACCCTTTTTCTCATCAAAATACTTCGTGCTTATACCGATGTTCATCCCAAAAAAATCATGGTGTGATTGGTTTTCAGTGCTATCCCCATCATTCTTCAGTGCTTACATGTGCTTACTCAGATGCACCAAAAAACATATCGGATATGGGACCTGGTTTTGCACAGCAAAAACCCACAAAAAAACTCAGGACATGTCAGGACATCTCAGGTCCTGCCTGATGATGCGCTTGTGTCCTGGCAACATCTCGGAGACTTCAACCGAAGGCTAGGTGGCTCACTTAAAGATCTACATATTGTGAAGGTAGAAATCTCAGATTTGCATCTATTGTGGCAGCTACATATACATATATATATATATGTATATATATATATATACAATATACATAGAATAATATAACACAATACAACATAAAATAACGTAATATAATATAATATAACATAATATAGTATAATATAATTATATAATAGAATGTAATATAATATGATATGATACGATATAATATTATATAATATACATATAATATAATTGCATATAATATACAAATACAATACATATAATATACATATAATATACATATAATATACATATAATATACATATAATATACATATAATATACATATAATATACATATAATATACATATAATATACATATAATATACATATAATATACATATACATATAATATAATGTAATTACATAATATAATCTCATATATTTATATTATATAATATAATATGATATAATAGGATATGATACAATATACATATAATACAATATACATATAATACATGTGTATATATATATATATACTTGAGAGGGGGGAACACGAAAGGTAGGTAAGCAAGAAAGGAACCGAAGAAAAAATGAAGGGGAGAGGGGAGGGAAAAATACATAAAGTGGAGTCTGGTAAAAGCGACGCGGCCATTTTCTTTCCAAAAATATGAAGGGGAGTCTGCTAAAAGCGACTGAAAGGCTTCGGCGATGTGGTTGGGGTTGGTGGTGGTTGTGGTGTTGGTGGTGTTGGTGGTGCTGGTGGTGTTGGTGTTGTTGGTGGTGGTAGTGTTTCTGGTGTTGTTAGTGTTGTTAGTGTTGTTGGTGTGGTTGGGTTTGTTGGTGGTGTTGGTGTTGTTGGTCGTGTTGTTGGTGTTGGTATTGTTCGTGTTCGTGTTCGTGTTGTTGCTGTTGTTGTTGCTGTTGTTGCTGTTGTTGTTGCTGTTGTTGCTGCTGCTGCTGTTGTTGCTGCTGCTGCTGTTGATGGTGTTGTTGTTGTTGTTGTTGTTGTGTGTTGTTGTTGTGTTGTTGTGTGTTGTTGTGTGTTGTTGTGTGTTGTTGTGTGTTGTTGTGTGTTGTTGTGTGTTGTTGTGTGTTGTTGTGTGTTGTGGTGTGTTGTGGTGTTGTGTGTTGTTGTGTGTTGTTGTGTGTTGTTGTGTGTTGTTGTTGTTGTGTTGTTGTGTGTTGTTGTTGTGTGTGTTGTGTGTTTGTTGTGTGTTGTTGTGTGTTGTTGTGTGTTGTTGTGTGTTGTTGTGTGTGTTGTGTGTTGTGTGTGTTGTTGTGTGTTGTTGTGTGTTGTTGTGTGTTGTTGTGTGTTGTTGTGTGTTGTTGTGTGTTGTTGTGTGTTGTTGTGTGTTGTTGTGTGTTGTTGTGTGTTGTTGTGTGTTGTTGTGTGTTGTTGTGTGTTGTTGTGTGTTGTTGTGTGTTGTTGTGTGTTGTTGTGTGTTGTTGTGTGTTGTTGTGTGTTGTGTGTGTTGTGGGTGTGTTGTGTGTGTTGTGTGTTGTTGTGTGTTGTTGTGTGTTGTTGTGTGTGTGTTGTGTGTTGTTGTGTGTTGTTGTGTGTTGTTGTGTTGTTGCGTTGTTGCGTTGTTGTGTGTTGCGTGTTGCGTGTGTTGTTGTGTGTTGTTGTGTGTTGTGGTGTGTTGTTGTGTGTTGTTGTGTGTGTGTGTTGTTGTGTGTGGTTGTGTGTGTGTTGTTGTGTGTTGTTGTGTGTTGTTGTGTGTGTTGTGTGTGTTGTGTGTGTGGTGTGTTGTGGTGTGTTGTGTGTGTTGTGTGTGTTGTGTGTGTGTGTTTTGTGTGTTGTGTGTTGTGCGTTGTGCGTTGTGCGTTGTGCGTTGTGCATTGTGCGTTGTGCGTTGTGCATTGTGCGTTGTGTGTTGGTGTTGTTGTTGTTGTTGTTGTCGTCGTTGTTGTTGTTGCTGTTGCTGTTGGTGTTGTTGTTGTTGGTGTTGGTGTTACCCCTGCAGCGTTTTTGCTCGGTTCCGTAGTGGCCGAAAATCGTCAAATCGGTGGTGTTTTCGCGTGTTTTTGCAACTCTCGGAGCAAAAAACACCGTAAATACCGATGTTTTTGGCGGGTCGGAAGCCCAAAACCACAGTATTTACGATGTTTTTTGCCTCTGGTAGTAAAAAGCACGGTATTTACAGTGTTTTTTGGCCAGCACCTAGCAAAAACACTGGTATTTACGGAGGTTTCACCATGTAGCAAAATGTGGTTTCTTGATCCGAAAAGAACAAAAATACTGTAAATTACAATGTTTTGAGTCTGCTCTTAGGGTGCGTGGGAGGTGTGGAGGGGGGGGGGGTACTAAAATGACTAGCAATCTCCTGAAGAATCAGGTAACGGGGCTGGCCGCCCTCCCCTTTACTTCGTAAAGTAAAACTCAAGGTAGCCCCTCTGGAGCTACCTTTCGTGATGTGTGTGTGTGTAAAAATGTTTTTCACAAGACTTCTTTCATGACACCACAAGATCTGGATCCCTCTCCACAATTGGGCGTTGTCGGCACACCTCCAGCCGGTGGTTGATGTTCAAAAACGCCTCCAGCAGGTGGTGCTTGAGGCTGTCTTAGAAAGTCCCAATGGATATTTGGTTGTTTAGATGTATGATGTATGGATGGGATGACTGGGATGTTTGACAAACTATATAAAGCTTTATTTTTAGCATACCAATGGATATTTATACCGTATATCGATTTTAAGGCATTTTTTGGTCTAATGGCTAAAGATGGGACCCAAAGGGATGGAAGCATTGTGACACCTGGTTGTCAGTCACATGGCTGGAAAATCACCCGTTCCGGCCGCCTGAGCAGAAAGGAAGCCAGACACTGCAGCAGTGTCCAACTCAGGCACCTTAATAGCTGGAAGGACCCAGCTGGTTGGCAGATAAAGAAATAACAGCTAGAGAGGCTGTTACATATAGAATCATATAGACAGATGGACTGACAGTGACAGACAGCTAGATAGATGGGTAGATGGGTAGATACAGGGTCCAACAAATAGATTCTGGCTGAATTATTATGCTACTTCACTAACCTGAGAATAGCTGTTACTGTATCATACGGCCATGTGGGCATGATTCCGCGAATTCCATTCCCATCGTCGTTCCAGTGACGACGTGAGGACGTGAGGTCATGATCAAATTCATCCAGACTTACTATACAAAAGTTCCATTGGCGAAACTCCATTAATATCCCCATTCATAGATTGATTCATGGATGGATGGACAGGCGGCCTATCCCGCTCCCAACAGGGGCCTATCCCGCTCCACCAGGTGGAGTTATCGCCAATGTTTGCATCCAAACTTGCCATGAAAGTGCCATGGTCAAAACATGTTATGGGCTATAGGGGATATGGCCATCTCATAATGGCGAATACCTATAATGGATAAACACATCCCTATTCATGGATTGATGACCATCCCCCAAACTGGGACTGCATAATCCAAGTATATCCAAGTTTTGACCATGCCACATTTCAATATGTTGGCTTTAGAACCCCCATGAAATCCCTATAATTTCCACTACTTTGATGGTTAAATCATGTTAAATCCAATTTCTCCCCATGTTCTCCCCATGTTCTCCGCCTTTCCTCACCCCATGTGCCCATGAAATGCTGGGTGCCCACCACGTTTTTAAAGATCAGGGCCACGTGCGCATGGATGCGGCACGCGGCGGCCAGGAACTTCCCCGGTGGCCTTGGTGGAGGTATGCTAATAGAAGTATAGAATGATGTAGATATAGGTATAGATACGTATATACGTATGTACGTGTGTATATATATATATATATGATATATGTGTGTGTGGGTTATATATATATATGGATTATACATGGATTATATATATATATATGTGGATATAGGTACTTTTGGATCCAATGGAATGCAAAACATTGTGATACCCCATGTCTTGGTCCCTTGAAATCGGATGATGGTCATGGTGGACCCAGTCGACACCCACCGGAGGCGGACAGCACCTCTTTGATGTGTATCGCAACCAATCCTTGAGCATCCTCAGTACCTGAATGTTGGCGGCCAATGTCGGCTACAAAGGCTTGCGCAAACTGCATCCCGCATGATGAATACAGAAAATGATTTGTTACATCATATTACAGCATACAAAAAAGCATATTACATCATTACATCATATTACATGATGCAGTTTGCTGCAAGCCTCTGATCCATCTGCCTCCCTTCAACCTGCTCAGCTGGGTCTGAGACATCTCCCTGAAGCTGTGTCCGTATCTCTCGGTGAGCTGCCTCCGCAGACGCAGGTGCCGCAGGTGGCTCTGTTCCGGCCGGTTTTTCGCTGATCAACACTGGTCCCATCCATGAAGGCCAGCGCTCTGATCCCTAAACCTTTCTATATGCAGTCAATACCCTCTGGTAAACTAACATAACTACGGAAAATCACGATTTTTTATGGGAAAACTCACTATAAATGGGAAAAAAATGGAAAAATGGGGGTTTCACGGCGTGTATGTTAGTAAGTTGCTTGTTATGATTTTGTGTTGGGGTTCAATGTTTCATCTTCGCCTTTGATGTTTTTTCAGGTGGGGTTTTGGGGGTAATTTTGATGCTAAAGTGATGTGTCAATGTTTGTTTCGGATGAGGGGGATAATTGTTTAGTCTGTTGGGGTTTTATGTTTGTGTTTGGGTGGGTGATTACTTCATAATATGTTTTGTTAAGATATTATGAATTAATCATTTACGCTTTCCAGTTTCCTATTCCATCCCACCAATGTTCAATCACTCTCATTTGTGTTAGGCAAGGTTTATTTGTATCGTTCAGTTCATCCATCGCTATTTAGTTCTCAAATACAAGTCGTGGTATTGTCCAAGGTTTCTTATACCGAAGTGTTCCCATATCCTCTGTGCCCTTTCATACTCATCATCTTCAATATGACTTTCGGTGAGATTGCTATAAAACGCTTTCTTCGGTGGTAATTGCTTTTCTCTGAACTTGTCAAATGAAGTGAAGTAATCGTATGGATAGACACCTTTGTCAGTGAGTAAGTCTAAATCATTGTCATTGCTGACATAGGGGTTTCTTTTGCTGAACTTGAAGTTGTTTTGCCAGTTTTCTTTCTTCTGTCCATCTTCATACTTACTCAACTTGACCAACTTGTCCAATGAGGACGATAAGAACGAAAAACCGTCTTTGAAACACATATTCTTGAATGCGAAGGTTATGAACTTCTCACTGTTCTGCGCTATTACATCTATCTTGGCATTTTCTGACAGTTCATTTGCTCCTTCAATCACTAAATGACTGTCATAGTTCTTCAAGTTATGAAGGAAAACTGGAATTTTGTAATAACGCATTGAAAACTGTAAATTACAATCATCGTGGGCACATCCCCTATACTTCCCTGTAAAGTGGCAATGGTCTCTACACTTTTTGTCTCCTTCCTTGAAGTCCTCACCGCAAATGAAACATTTAGTGGCGGTCTTAAAGTCCCTCCAGTCTTCGTCCTTCATAATGATGTCCTTGTTTTCTTTCATCTTCTCCACTATCTTATCCTTTACTTCAATCATCTTTTTCACGAAGACATCCATACAATCCTCACCCCTATACAAGAACGGTTCAGTTGAACCATCAATTGAATTGACAACATTTATCATAAAACCGCAGGGTCTATGATGTTGGTATTTATGAATCTTGATTGGTTTGGTGCTTACTGTTCCCGTTTTCGTAGTCAAACACTCAAAATCAGCATATATAACGAATGGTGCTTTTAGTTTCTTAAAGTGGTTCTTGAATTTGACGAAGAATGTGTCAGGCTTCTCTGGGTCAAACTTTGGCATTTCTATTGTTTGCCCTTCCACTGCCATACATCCCTTTTCCTTATGATTAGTTAAATCATCCTCTGAATGAAACACACCCGAACAGTGATTACAAATGTATTTCTTTGCTTTCCGCTTACCAGCCTGTTGATACATCAACTTGTTAAAATCTTTGATATAAACATAGTGGTGATTGTCTCCATCAGTTATTTTCAATAGGTCTATGTGGTGAGTTGCTTTGACAACTGTAGTCCTCTTATACAGTAGGATTGATTGCTTACCATCTTCATCATCAACGTAATAAACATTGATGGATATTTTACCTTCGTTGTTCTGTTCTAAAATGTCTATGTCAAGATTTGATGCTGGAAAATTGACATTGTCCCAGTTGAGTTCGTCCTTTAGGTTTTTGTATCTGTAAATTCTGTTTGGATTGTCTTTCTCATAAACTTTACAAACACCGCACTGAATGGAATACAAAAAACATTTGTCATCTTGATTTTGAATATTGATACAGGCCCGTTTCAGTTTCAACCATTCAGGTAGTTCAATGTATGAACCTCCACGAGTAGGATTGTATTTGTCATAGTTGAATTTCAACTTATCAATATGCTTCAACACCAATCCACTCTCCGACATCTCCATCTTGTCTAACTGAAACTCTATGTCAGTTGCCATTTGATTTAACTTTTGGGGTATTTCCTCTTCGTTGGTGATGTTGTATCTTCTGCTTCTGAGGCTCTCCCTTATCTCTTCGTTGGTTTTCTTGCTCTTCATAGTTGCGGACACCTGTAAAATGACTTTCATTCCCTTATATTTCCTCAAATGCCCTTTCAATCTCAAATCTTGGTATTTGAGATACTGTAGTGCCTTGATACCTCTAACTCTGACATTGGTGATGGCAAATGAATTGACATAACCCTTGAAAGCAGATTGATCATTGGTGGTTGTTGCTTTGTATCTCATTTGAATGCCTGTGAGTGCTTTGTTCTTGTCAAGATTGACCCATCTAATGCCTCTCTTTTCTTTCAGTTCATACTTTTTGTAGTCATTGTAGTCCATAGTCTGCTTAATCTTGTTGAATTTAGTAATCAACCTCTTTGAAATGGGTCTTATCTCCAATCTTGAGTTTCTTGAGTTCCTGTCCATTCTGTTTCAAAATTTCACCCTGTTCGGATGATAAAAGATAATCTAAAACAATCTGCTGTGAAGTGTCCATTATAGTATATTCTATATTATTATTAGTGGATGTTTCTTTAAGTAGTTTTTCAGTGTGAATTGTTTGTTGAGGATGTTGCGGTTGATTGGATTGGTTGTTTGATTGATTTTTAACATAAAACCTCTCTGTTGAATGTTTCAACCTTGTATCCTCTGCCATTTCCTACTACATATATAAGGTAATAGTTCTTTAAGTAGTTTTTGGGTATGGGTTGCCTGTTGGAATTTCTGGGATTGTGATTGGACTTCAACATAAAAACCTTCTCAATAAAAATGATTGTTATTGAGAAAATTTTGGATAATTAGCACTGACATCTTTTCTTCATACAAATGTTGGTTTGACGATGTTTTGATAAATTGGATTTGGACGAAATTGTGCGTCCGCAGTCGGGACAGGTGAAAGGGGTTGATAATTTCTTTTGATAATATTTTTGGAAGTAGTGTGGGTCGTTGGGTTTGCTGTCATAAGTTCCATCGGGTTTCCATCTGGTGGATGTTTGGATTGGGGGTTCTTGGACTGTTGGTGGATTGAGTGCTTCAACCATCTGGTCAAAGATGTCCTCATCCATTTCTTGCTTCTTTCCATCAATTACTAAATAGCAGGGCATATCAAATCTTATTTATATAAGGCGACTAGTTTTTAAGTATTTTTGGGGTTTTATGTTGAAAAAATGAGGTGTCCGAAAATGAGGTGAAAAGGGCTCAAAAACAACCATTTTAGGACACTTGTTCAAATACTGTTCCTGCCACTGTTGAAGCTGGTCTCATAGATTTTGATGCCAAATTTGTCTCATAGATTTTGATGTCAGTGTTGTGAGTGCTTGTTGCTGGGGACGCCAACCACGCCGTTGATGGTTGAGGTCAGCGACAGCGCGAAGCAATCAGAAAATATGGATAAAATAAATAAATAAAAATCTATCCGCCAAAACACCAACTGGGGGTATGCTTGGAAACTTCCGCACACATAGCGGTTCGCTCCCTCCCAGTGGTGTTTTCTTCCCTTCCTTTTTTATATATAATTCTTCCAAGGTCAAGACCATAACTTATTTGCGGTGTGTTCCCTTCCTTCTGAACGGACAGGATGGATGAAGTGGGGGTAAGGGTGATATAATATATTATAGTGTGTGGGATGGTGATGGATATGAACGAATATGTATGTTTATATATTCCCCGAGGGTTGGGTCAAAAAAAAATCAAACCCCGAAATGATGATTTCATCCACTCAAATTTCAACTGATTTTTTGTTTCAATCCTTTTTTCAACAGTTTTTGAATGACCGATGCTGGAATGAACCTTCCAGAGGTCAAAGTCAGTGATGTCTTTTTGACCTCGGCGTGGAGAGCGTGGCACAAGTTTCATTGGTGTTGGGGTGAAAGTGGATTTGGGTAAAAGCGTGCAAATGACCAGATTTGTGCGTGTCATCCTTTATACTGCCAACCTGAACAAAACCATCTGTCCAATGAAATGAAATGACAGCAACATTTTCATCTGCCAACGCTCGGTATGTGAGAAAGGGGGGCGAAAATCTGTGCCAAATCCCCCCAACAATCACAATGCACCAAGGGTGCAATCCGTGACGCACCAAGGGTGCAATCCGCAATGCGCCCAACCCGCAAAACCTGCAGTTCGTGATGCACCTCACAAGAAAAACTTGACATTCCACACCTGACATGCTTGGCGGCTGCTCTTTTTCAATCAGTCATTAGGGATGCGTGGTAAATCACTGGCGCACAGCCAGTCAATTGGCCGAATTGTTTTAACCGTCACGACGCACCAACAGGTCTCTGATCTCCTTGAGGTCTTTTTGGAGGTCGTCCACTTTTTGGTTCACGTCGCCCACTTTTTGGTTCACTTGTCGCAGCTCCGCGTAGGTGTTTCTATATTCAGTGAAGATTGCAAAAACAGGGAAATTGTTTAATGCTGCATCCTGTGCAAGGATGCTCAATTCCTCTCTTGCAGCTTCGGCAGCGGCTTCAAACTGTCCTTCTTCTCCATTCAAGCATACAACGCAGCACTGTGGCTGAGAGATGTCTTCGGGACCAAACTTCAAAGCCCTCTCAATTTGCCATAGTTTGCCACGTAGGCTCTTCGGAGTTTGGGCCACTTCTGACAGCAAGACACCGAAAGAGATGTTGTGCCACTCGCCGTGAGTGAGGCATCTCACGTGTGTGAAACTGTCGCAGAAAAAAGTGTCCAGTGGAATTGTTTCATTTGTGCGGAGGTATAGGTCGCCCTCGTAACTTGCCTCTCCTTGGGGAACACCTTTTTCTTTTTCATCTTTCCAGACGAACCGCTCCCTCAGCCAAGATTGCATGAAATTGATGCGGTCCTGGTTCATCTGTTCCATGCTCGCTTTTGGAATGGTATATATTCCTGGATGCGCTCGAACCCTTCAAGGTTGTCCAATCTGGCCAGGACCTGACGCTCAAAGTCGTCTTTGGTCCAAATGTGTTGCAAGTTGGAAAGCGTGGATCATTTTGTCGGGGCTCGGGCCGGTGTAGCCAAGCTGAAGCTTAAGTAAGCACAAGCGCTGGCTAACGCCACGGTCGCCAAGCCAGAGTTTGTCCGGCTTCGGCGCAGTCTTGCCATCACCCTGTCGCGCACAATCTCCATAGTTGGGGGCACTCTCGGAACAGAAATTGCTGTCGGACCTCCATGTAAAAGCATGGTTCACGTTTCAATTTGCACAATTGGACAGCCACATGACAGTGGTTCGCTAGTGAAAGTCCACAAAGTCCCTTCTGGGCACCCGGACAAAACAAATGAAGATGAGGTTGAAGACCAGAAAACAGCCGGCAACTGGTTTTAGGGACGTTGGTGAAAACCTATCAACCTCAACAATTATCCCTCTCATCTTAAACCAAATAATGAAGAGAAAGTTAGCATGAAATAATCCCCAAAACCCCACTTGAAAAATCATCAAAACCAAGGATGAAACATTGAACCCCAACACGAAATCATAACAAGCAACATACAAACATATATGCCCTGAAACCCCCATATTTCCATTTTTTATGGGTCATTTTCAATAGCTATGTTAGTTTACCAGAGGGTAGTTCATAGAGCCCTCCAGTTTTTTGGAGGCTGTGAGTTGGAGGAGCACGGTGTCGACATGTGTCACAGATTGGCAGGTGAAAGATGGTGCAAGTCTAGGGTCAAGTCTCCCCAAACCCAGAAGGTTTACGCCAAAAAATCTTACCCATCTCAGATGCATCAGTTAGGGTCATGAATTTCCAGCACTTTCCGGGGCCAACAAAAAACCAGCGGAGACCGAAGCCTGCAACTCCATCAGCAAGGCGTCATCCTCGACAGGTGGCCGATGTGGCGACCATTTTTCAAGGCACAAATCCACCGCCAATCCCTTCGCCCTAATAAAGACCTTCCAAGAAGGGACCCCAAATAGATATTAAGAGAATTAAAGGGGAAAACAATCACAATTGAACACTGAATTAAAACTTGAAAACTGTTTGAACAGTCTTGAAAACATCCACCACTAGGGCGCGCAAGAAGCAGATCTCAGCCGCTTGGCATGATGCACTGTGCAAAATGTCGTCAAACATTGAGTGCTCGTTTTCGTGTGCTTCGCACACATTTCGGACACATATGACCCCATGTAAACCCAGTGCGTACCTGCGGCCCTGCCAAGCTTCTCCTAGGTAGGCCAGCGACCCTCAAGCCACAAGCCACACGACCGGATCACCGTAAATACTGATGGATAACTACAGTGCTGACAATGACAATGTTCCCATAGGGCTAAAATGCCAAGGTGGGTTTCTGGAATCCGACTCCTCACAGTCTATATATTATATTATATATATATAGAGATATAGTGCCTGTTGCGTAACTGTACCGACCATCGTGTTCCCTGGGCTGCGTTTTGCTAATTCATTACGCGAGTGCGCAGATGCCCCTTGTTCCCTGTCAGCCATAGTCGGCCACGGCCACCGTACAAGGTGGTACCCCCCCAGCTGTGCATTGGTTTATAACACCATGAACTACATTTTTTTAACCATAAACCATAGTTAACCTATTTATAAACCAACTCCGCTAAGTATGGGGCACCATCACAACTCGGGCTCCCTGGCACAAAGGCATCGTAGCTCGCCCCAGAACGCTCCAAATACGCTCCCCGGCGGCCTGAATACAGCCAAGAATCCACCATTTATAGATGATGATGTTCCCATTAAAAGCTCCACTTATAGGGAATTTCCCATATTTTTCCCATGTTCCTATGATTTTTGTTTATATATAGGGAATTTCCATGAATTTCCCATTGCCATCCATTGCCCACGTCAATCGCAGGGTTTTTCTGTGGATCTGTCCACCTGTCAAATCCGTCTATGGATCCCAGCCATGAGACACCAGGAAAGCCAAGTAAGACTCGATGCGCGTCGCCAGGCGGATGACGTAGAGGATCAGGCCTCAGTAGCTGGTCATGGGATTCAAGGCCCATCATGGCCCATCTCAGGCCCCGTGAAATCCTCAGAACATGGCCCCAACAAAGACATCCAAAATGATCGAACCGTCATCAAATTGGGCTCCCGCACCATCGTTGGCCGACTCGGGGCGACCCACATCCTTCTCGATCGCCACCTGGAGCCTCGGTACCCAGGGTTTGATGGTTTAACCCGATGGGTGTTTTATGGGAGATCCGAACAGTGGATGTATTGATATGTATTGACAGGAGAGATAGTTCGACACCAGTTTCTAGCAAATTCTCAGTCAATATCAAATCCATCGCCTGAGGCATCCTTTGGCCCCCAGCAAGCACAACACTGCATGCACAACTGCTTGAGGTGACCTGTTTGTAGGTCTGGAGAGATGGAAGTTCTGAACAGTGGCGAAATTTTCTGAAAAGTGCTTGCAGCCTGGGGCATTGTTGAATAAATCTAGATCATCTTATCGTCTCTCTTAGCTTTTCTCTTCTCTTATCTGTCCTATCCTATTCTATCCTATCTTCTCCTATCCTTCTCCTATCTACCTGTGGATCCAATTACCTGCCTGTCTGCGTACATATACTACATCAACAAAAATACAGCAGCTCCCAGCGACCTCATCAGCTCATTGAATAAGAGCCCCGCAGCAGTGGCCAGGTGCCTACTGTCACCGATTGCTGGTCATTTGGAAAGCACCAAGCAGGTACAGTATGAAGGCATCAAAGATCTACAACACAACACATCCCAGAACATTCTCACAACTGAAAGCACCTCCAATTTGTATCCAAAAATGCGATCCAGCAAAATCCAAACCCTCAAGAACGATGGATTTGTCTGGGAATAAGGTCTGCCCCCTCAGATCGCAAGTCCAAAAAGGGAAAATCATGATTAACCAGGTGGATTTAGGACGTTAGGATACTTTATGATACTTTAGGATGGTTTTTCGTGCCATTTTCAGACCAAAGCTCAAAAGGGCAGCCAGGGCCCACGGCGCTTGGATCATCCCCAGCTGCGCCTGCGGTCCGCTGCCGGCACTGTGTCAGGTGGCGACTTCAGCAAGTCCGTGGGCGACTGCCATTGGCCCGGCCTTAGTGGAGTTGCCTGGGGATAGGATGAAGCCAAGCATCTTTATAAACTTTAGAGTATAGCAACCTCAAAATAGATAGAGTTGGAAACTTGAAAGTCCTGCGGGAAACATCTTCTACAACATCGAAACGCTTTCCAATCTTTTTCTTCCGAACCATAACAATGGTAGTGACCCTTGAGAAAAGGTAGAAAAGTTATGTATCACTATTCGAGAAGGTGTGTTTTTATTGGGATATAAGAAGAAGAACAGATAAGAACTATAAGAGGTATTCAATCCTGGCGATATAATGGGTATCTAAAACAAACAACGATGGATAAAATGCTGATTTGAAACCATCCAAAACTGGGGACATAATGGGGATATAACCAATGTATAATCTATGCATGTCAATGGAGTTTCGTTTCAAAATGGGCAATGAAACTCAGCAGTATGAGGATTTCCTTACAATAGAAGGGAATCTCATGATCCTCATGATGGTATGCACATGTATGTAATATACAAACATACATGCATACATATATATATACACATAATTATACATATATATATATATGTATATGTATATATACATAATATATATATATATATATTACATGTATATATATATATACATGGAGATTATATAGACTTGTGTGTGTGACTCAACGCCATGGCTTTTGCTTCCCGATAAAAAAGGGACCTTCGAGGTGCCCCCAACTACACTGGGTGCCAACTCAAACAGCGCAGCATCCAAGACAACCTGCGGCATCTGTTGACGAAAATGGAGGCTTCGGCATCAAAGTTTCAAAAAAAAAGTTAGGACCCGTTCCCAGCGTTGCACAGAGTTTAAAAAACCCATGCTTTTCACAATAAGCGCATGCCGCATGCCAAGTAACTACCGGCAAATACAAAGCACCCACCCATCGTTTCATCATAGACTGCTCAACCCTGTCATCCGTAGCATGGCACAACATGACAAGATCCAAATCACACATCACCACGGCTGAAAACTCAGAGGTGATAAGGGGCGCTGGTTTGTAATGCGGCAAACGCAATAAAAAGGCACCAGTTGGGGATAGTGTTAACTTTTACCAACTAACCGTGGTTATATTGGGGACAGTCATGGCATTGGGTCTATCACGTTAACGTCAACTGCAGATTAACCCCGGTCCTGGTTGGTGAGTTTGAGGTTACCCCCAAATAATGATCCTCTGCTACTAAAATGGTACTCCACCAGATGATGAACAGGCCAGGGGGTTCGGAAACTCCTGGCTTGACATGTGGCAAACCTGTCATAAACCATCCCCAGTTGATTGTACCATCTGGGAAATACTAGCATCATTTATACACCTCAAAAATTGTTTTTTTAGGAAGTGCAGTTCCAGTACCAGTTATAAGTGGATAAGTATAGTTATCGGGGGGCATATCCCAACTTACGGCAGTTTACATGTTGTAACCATGGTTATACTCCCCATTTCCAAGTACTCAGTATACTATTAATTACTAGGGCCTTTGGGCTTATATCATGTGATATCCCAACTTAACTTATGTGGGTGGAAAAAAAACAAAACATGGTTATTTATATACCCTCTGGTAGTTTAACATAACCATTGAACCTGGTGATTTATAGTGGATTTTCCCATTGAAAATGGTGGATCTTTCCATAGCAAACTGTTAGTTTACCAGAGGGTAATGTGGGGATGGGTCAAAACCTTGTACCCCTGGTGAACATCAAAATAGCTGGTAAATGGATGTTCATCCCACTAAAAATGGTATTAATAGGTATTGATCCATACCCATGTTATTTAATTCTGTTGGGAATTCCCCCTAGATTCTTTGGCACCTCCTAGGTGGACTCTTTGCCCGCACCTGTAGCTGTGGTTCTCGCAATGCTGAGGCGCGGTGTCCTGGAATTACCGCGGCTTTTTTGGGGAAAAAAAAACCTGGGAGTCCCCATTTTTCTACGGAACTTCTAGAAATTAGAGCCGTTATACTTATTCATTGTGATTCATCATGATTGATTATAGTCAATTATAGTAATGATCAATGATGATTCGTTATGATGATGATTCTTCATGATATTATTAGGTTATCTAATTTCATGGGATATGGCTCATAAATCGATACTCATCCCATGTAGCCAAGCACCAATTTCCAGGGCCCCCTACGATCTGTGAAGAATCCCAGCAGCAATGGGATCCTCAAATAAGGCCTGCAGCTGTGGGTATACGCTCCACGCTCCGAACAGCGGGTGCAGCTCCCAGGTCCCCGGACGCTGTGAGGTAGCTCAGCAGCAACTCGACATCGGCAGCTCCCAGCGCCTTAGGGGCCAGCTGTCGAACGCTAAGAATCTGGAAAAACCTGAAGGGAGAAATTGATTGATCATGATTGATCTCTTTTTCGGTTGATTTCCGAATCCTCCTGGCAAAGATTAGCAATGGCCTTCACTAAAGTAGTGGTGAATAGCTAAAGCTATACTGACAAGCCTTACATCCCAAACCGCTCGGGTTACAAGCATGGCCCCCAACTGCACCCCCCAGAAAGTCACCTTTTTGTCACCTTTCCACGAAGCATCGTGCTGGCCCCAGCAGCCATTGGCACACTGCAGTGGCCAGCGAGCGCTCACTGGCCGGGCGCTTGTCAGGGTGCCACCTGGGTGGTGGGCAGGAGAACAATCCATGATTTTATGGTGGTTTTACGCAGATTTTATGTTGATTTCATAGTACCTGATGGGAATTTATGGTGATACAGTGGGACATAACCAACAATATCCGGATACCCATGACATTTTGGTAGGTTTGACGCGTCGATGGCCATAAGGTGTGGTAACAATAGGTACATGAAGTAGTTGAAGGCCTCATCCCTTATCACACTCCTCCCCCATCAGCCCCATAACCACCACCACCATCATCAAGTCTAGTTCCCTCCAACGTTCACGAAAATGGTATACTTGGATTCGCCTAAGGGCCCTAATTCTATGGTGGATTTCGGGTTGAACAAATAAACATAAATAAACCATGTGTACATTGCCTCCCACCAATTGGCCTACCCTCCGGTCATCAAACGTTTCAATGGGGAAATTCCCCCCACATTTCTGGAGCTTTGCATGGGAAAATCATCGGTTTCTAAATGGTGGATTTCCCAGCAAGCCACGTGACTCACGTGACCGGAGACTCGTAGATTCCTACCATCGTCCAAGGTGCTCTAGCATCATCTGCTTAAAGAGTCGCTGACGGAGCTCCAGGCTTTTGCACCTCCGAAATGGAATGAGAAACTCGCCACATGTCCATGTTCATCTGTCATGATGAAAGCTATGGTTAATCATGGTTAAGGGTCAACTAACTTAATAATGAGTGTACAACCAACAGTAATGAATGATTTTTATCTCAATTGTGGACAATTGGAAACGTATGAAATGTCGCAAACCCAATCATAAACCATCCTCACTTCTAGCAGAAAAAACGGAAATAGTTTGTATCAACACATCAAGAATTGGAAGTGCATTGCTGGTTTTCCCATATGGGGATGCATCAAAACATGTCAAAACCACCCCTGGTGAACATCAAAATGACTACTTTTTTCCATGGATTTTCATCTCCCAAAAATGATAGCTATTGATCCATAGCTTCCAAACCTGTTCTGCTGCATGGCATCCAGGAGCTCCGCATAGGGCCCCGCCCCGTTCGCGCTGGGCCGCGCCGGCAACGCCGCCGCCGCCAACAACGCGTCGTCGCTGTCATCGGCACCTCGAGGCTCTCGTGGCCAGGGTGGCGTGGGGCATTTGGCCTCAATGGAACCCAGCAGTCGTGTTCCCCAAGATACCAAAAACATCCAAAAACCATTTGAAATTTTGTAGATTTCACCAAGCATTCTACAGTATGACTCAGTATGATATGTTGGTGATATAATGAAGATAAGAGCGCAAAAACATTAGGGTCTCGGGCATCTCCATTTTGGGAAGGTGCTGTGAGATAGAAAATATGTACCAAATTGTACCAATACATGGCTCCGGGACTGGTCGGACAACACCTGTAACCTTTACCTAAAGCATCCTGAAGCCCCACATCTTAATAGATCTTCGCTGTGCCAAGGTGCAGCAGGCTTGGCCCCCCTGGCCAGCAGTTTCTCCATCAAAGGGCTTTGGACTTGCTTTGCCATGTCCTGCAGTCGAATCACTGGCTCTACGGAGCCGATTCAATCGTAGCCTAATCGAAAGTCAACTTGCCTATCATAAATCTGTCATAAATCTCCAGTCATGTTCAGCTAAATATCCAGGCGGGTGAAACCACCCAACTTCCGCCCGCTGCACAGTCCAGCACCGTGAAGTGTTTGTAAGGCCCAAATTCATGGAGGCCACAGCATACCACGTTCCTTACGTCAATTGACCGTCACTCGTCTTTGCAACCCCAGCTGTTGATATATGTGAGCCATTGCCAAAAAATGGCGTGTGTGTATATGCACATTACAAATATATATAGAGAGAGAGAATGGTCACCCATCCCCTATTGGGAATTCTTACAATGGGCATGTAATTCCCCGTCAATGGATTGATGGCCATCCCCCAATATAGCTGTACAATCCAACTTTTGACGCGAGGCATACTTTTGACCACATGTCATATAACTCTAGGCTCTGCCTCCAATCCTTCGCATTCAGTTCGCGCCGAATCTTCCGCGGAAATGCAGGGTCGCCATACTGATGACAATTCTGACCAAGGGGTGCCAAACATGTAGATTTTGGATCCACTAACCCTTTGAAAACGAAAACCTGATGTCACAAGCATCTCGTAGCATTGCCAAGTCACATGTCAGTCTGATCATGGAGGAGAAGCAACTCGCAGATTTCTGTCTTCAACTCCATACACGCGGCAATCGGGGCAGTGTACTCCTTCCCAAGCTGCGGAATGTCTGATCCAGACTCACCCATCAGAATGAGCCATAAGTCAAAAACAAAGGATGGAAAGAGAAGATTGGTGGAAAGAAGCTAGCTGCCTCTTCAATGACCAGTGGTCCCTCATGGTTCTGCAGAAAATCGAAATCGAGCTCCAACATGCTGACAGTTACTGAAGCTCCTCCCAGCTGATGGCACATTGGCAACATCCATCACCTGCTGGAGCGAACTTCTTAAACAGCCCCGTTTGAAACTCCATCGATCTCCATCCTTTGGTAGGGAAATTCCACATAAATCCACATAAAATTGGGATTTAGATGGATTCAAATGGATCTAGGCAGGGGATGATGGGGATGTTTACTGTGATTCAGATCTGGACCATCCCTCCAGGATCACACCAACCGACTCACCAAGACATGCCTTAAATGCCAAAAGTCACTTGAATATACGGTCATCTATGAGTCATCTATTGAATATCTATTTAAGATGAACTGATACAACTTTAAAAAACAAAAACATGTTGAACATGCTTTTGAGGAGTCCAACGTGCTTTTGCTAGCCTGGCATCCAAGGCTTATAGGCTTAGGCCAAACGCAACCAGGGAGCTCCCTTTGAGGCGTTCCTCTCTGAGCCAGATTGTGTTGGGATCGGCACCACCCTTCAGCAGCTCCTCTGGAAAAGTGGAAAAGGTGAACCATTAGGAAACCGACTTTAGTCATGTTGGAATATTCACTACAAGTATGGTTCGAAAGCCTGGTAACTTAGCCGTCATCCCAAGAACATACCATGCAGATCCAAATAGACTTTGATGGTATACAGTGATAACTGTCGGTCGCCCAATTTGGTGGTGTTGACTGATTTGACTTTCTTTATCTTTACCCAAGAGTTGTATCTCTTCTTGTCACCCCAGCTTTTGCAGTTGTACCCCGCTGAATGTGAATCAGCAAAAACCAAGGAAATCCGAGTTGACAAGGCAAGTGCAAATCTTCGCCCCTGGCCCCTGCCTGAACCTTAGCCTCATCCCCAGCAAACGCAGCTTGTACCAGCTCTGGGCAGCTTTCTAACTGCGCCTTTTGCAGCTGCTGTTCCAGCTCGGCTAAGCTGGGAAGGTCTGGGATGTCACCGGTGGCTTCCTCCACTGGGACGGCGTCCACCGCAACGGGCACCGCAACAGGCGCAGGCCGCGCAGGCGCAGGTGGCGCATCGGCAGGATCGGCAAAGGGATCCCAGTCGTCCATGACGCTGTGTTTAAAAGTGGGCTGGTGCTTGGCAAAGCTTCCTGGAAAATCCTTGAAAGAACTTAAGAACTGTAGGATGCATAGATGGATATTGATGGATATTGAAATTATAAAGTTGTGAAGGTTCTGCGAGTTCCAATTCAAGTCGAGTTGGGCTCAAGCTTGCCTCTTGGGCCTCCCAGCAAATGCGTGCTTAATCAGTATATGTCAACTTACCCAGGTTCAAGTTGGGAGGGTCGGGCCCAAACTTCACTGCTAAGGCGGCCCATTTGTGAGTTGAGTGAAATGCCTTCAAACTTGACAAGCTTTGTCATGTGTCTTGAATCTACAGTACTTAGGGCCATGGACCTGTGCTGAATTGCTTGGCTAGGGTTAACCACACCCCCCACAAAAAAAAAGTGGAGCAAGAAAATGTAAGAAACACACTGACTATCCATGAAGATTTCCTATCAGGCACAGAGTTTCTTCTGTTCATCGTTCACGTGTTAATGTTTGACTTGGACTCCAGGCCCCATTAAAAGTAGGAAGCTGCTTCAAGAAGAGCACATCATCCTGCACAAAAACAAGGTTGGCCAAGGGCTGCTTCATTGGGTGGTACCATTTAGTGGCAGATTACAACTATTTGGGGGTACCTCTCTCTCCCCATCGCCATCTCAGAGAGTTCAACGGAAGCTGAAGGCGAGCTCCCTGATTCAGAGATCAATCCTCTGTAGCCAGTTGCTGAGAGGGGTCACCGGTCAGTACCTTCCAGCGGGCGTCGGCCCTGATTGGAGGATCATTCCAGTAAGTGCTCAAGAGCCCTGATAATCCAATAACTGGGGTCATATATCATCATATATCTAATGCGTCTAGTATAGATTCATAGCTCAGTTCCGAATTCCAGACACCACGGTTTTACGTTGAAATTTACAGTACACATATCTGGGGCCATCCGAATGGGGAAGTCTTCAATATGAGCTGCGCACCGATGGACTGGCACGGCTGAGGCTCTTCTTGTCGGACTCGTATTGACCGAACCTTGAAAAGCACTGGGCACATTTTCGCCATGCCATTGGAATTTGATGGGGATACAATGGAGGTTTAATGGGGATATAAATGAAGAATAATGGGGATATAAATGAGATATAACCGTTAACCGAGATATAACCGTTAACCAACAATCCGAGGATATCCGAGGATTGCAAAATGGGTCCTATTAAATACCCTCAAAATTGCATTGTTTTACTTGGAAACAGTCGCGAGCTGTGGATGGTTTAGTTCTGACTTCCCATGATACCCCACGACCACCGTTGGTTACCACAGCTTTTACTATTCTAAAATAGGAATGGTACACCTCTCTCATGTGAGTCAGTGCGTAACAGTTAGAGGTCAGCACTGGCGAACTTCACATGTATATAATATAGGAAGTGGCAATACTGCTTATGATTGTGTTAATTATAGTAATGGTGGATTAAATCTGTTTATGTTGGTGGAAGTGCGTTCCCTCAATATTTAAGATTTCAATTATCAACCACACAGGCATATTTTAATGTAGATGTTGTATGCCATACTGAATTACAAACTGATGTCATCAATACAAAAAATGCTACTGATGTTGATTTAGGCTTTAAAAGAGGTGATGTTGAATATATGAAGTTTGAAGGAACGCTACAAGCAGTGGAACTAACAAAAGGTGCTAATTCAAACACATATGATAGTATCGGCAATGCTGATGTCAGTTTTAGAAGGAACACAATAGATGTTATGTATTTTAGAAATGGTAATGTAGAAGTAAATACAGGTATATCATTACTTGCTGAAAGTGGTAAGTTTGATGTAATTGATAGTGCCACACCTACTAATGTAGTATTTAAAAGGGGTGGTGTTAATTTCTTTACATTAGATGGCACTAAAAATGTTATTGATGTTTCAACTGGTCGGGCGTTGTCTTCTCAATATATTTATGGAGATTATTTTTACAATAGAAATTATGGTGCTGATATGGTCTTTCAAGGTAGTAGCACAACAGATGATGGTTTAGTAGAATATATGAGATACAGAAAAGCAAATGAAGATGTTAATTTTTCAAAAGACATATATGTCAATCAAGACAAAAGAGCATATTTTCATAAAGAACCGGTAAGAATAGTTATATAGTTGATGAAAATACAGCAGGTGTTGATCATTTCAAGTTAATCAATGAAGACCCTAACGGGGACATAAGATGTTATGCTAATAGCAGTATAAGACTTTTTATTACTCCATCAAAAGTTTCTGTTCCAGCACCTTATACATTAGAGGGAGACCTTGTAGATACAAGTAGTGAAAAGGTAAAATATGATATTCAAGAAGCAAAGTATGACTTTACAAACATCGTAAAAAAACATAAAACCAACGACTTTCAAAATGAATGCTGAAAAAGAAAAGGGTATGAGCAAAAACCATATCGGTTTTATTGCTGAAAATGTGGAGGAATGCATACCAAAAGAAATTGAAAATATAATATACAATGTTGATGGTGTCAAGAGTTTAAGCTATGTAAAAATGGGAAGTATCACTTGGGGAGCAGCCGGAGAAATAATCAAAGAAAATGAAGACTTGAAAAACAAAGTTGAGCATTTAGAAACACGCTTATTTGAAGTTGAAATTTTCATTAAAGATTTTGTTAAACCAAAACCAAAAGCCAAAGCAAAATCAAAAACCTAAAGATAATTAAAATATAATATAATGCATATATGGGAAATAAACAATCTACAGTAGAGAACAGTTGTATTCAAGAATTGAGTAAAATTAATGAAGAAGAGTTAGATATTAGTAGATAAATTACAAATAAAAGCCTTAAAAGAAATCAACAGCAAAATTGAAAAACTGAATAAAGAAAAGCAAACAAAAATGATATATGCTTTGCCAAAAATAGATGTCTGTACTTACAGCCTCTTTTAAATTTATAATATTATTATTTCAGTATAATATTATTAATTAATATGTATCTCTTTCTCCAGTCTCACCATAAATATGTTATTAACATCACTGGAGCGAAGCTTAACGAAAAGGAATGAATAAGGTTCTTCTGTTGCCAACTTATAGATTTCATACAAAGTTTTCTTATCAACCAGTGCTGACTGTTCTTCTATAAATAAATGTGTCAATCTCTTTCATATTTTTCAGTTTAAAGATATATAATGAAGATGTGTTTAGTCTAACTATCGGCGCAAGGGCGTTATATTTCTGGGTTGCTGTGATTACTGACAATCCGAAGTGTCTTGATTTTGTGTAAAGTCCGTGTAGCACCTTTGAATATTTCATAAAACTCTATCCTCGGCAAAATCGTCAATTACTAACAGGCAACTATATAATGTGTTCATTTTGTTTTTCTTCTGGTATTCAATTACTTTATGTTGTGTATCTATGGTTTGTTGTAAAGCATCCCCGTCATACTCATCAAATAAAAACTGCTCTTTTATATTATCTATTTTAACTCCTTTTCAATATATCGTATTACAGATTTGTATGCCTCATCTATGTGTGCTGTTGGGCTAACGACCCAAATACGTTCAAAGCACCCCCTGTAGATTTTTAGAATGAGGTTCTGAATTAATATACCCTTTCCGCCCTGTGATGCCGATACAATGATGCTTCTGAATGGTAGTTTGCCTGCCTGTGGGTATGGGCTTTGTTTGAATTCATACTGTTTTACATTGATAGGTTCAATCTTGGGAACATCAAGTTTTTTCATATAAATTATTTAGAAATTAATTTCTAATATTTATTGTAAATGGCATATCTTATTTTACCTTTGAATAGGGTGTCAGGTGAAATCTGGAACAGACTGCCATTTACCCATCATAAGAATGTTAATTAAAAAATAAAAAATCCACCCTTGGGCTCTTGCTCCGTTTCAATCCCGACACGGTCTCTTTTTGTCATAACAACAAGCAGTAGAAGATGTTGAAGCCTTTTGGCTCAAGAATCTGTTTGATGCTATGTTTCAATCAGCACAATCCATTTTCTTTTGACATTTACTGGATTTTTGTTTGCGCGTAAAAATCCATATATAATTAGATAGTAATAATTTTATCATCTAATTATATCGGATGAGCAGTTGTGAAGTTTTTGATAGTTATATCAATACAATAGATGTGATTGAAGATAGTGTCATTGATGATACTAAATTTCCAATTGTAAAAGATAATAAACTTAAACAGATATTCAGGGTAATGCTGGAGTTTCTGAAGGTAATAATAAATAATCTTACGTATTATATAAATGCCACCAAAGAAAAACAGTAAAAGCAAAATACCAAGAAAGCCAATCCCTGAAGATTTTGAACTATCAGATGGTGAACCCGCTGTTGTCAATCTGAATGAGGAACAAAAACTGACATCTAAAAACATTGTTTTGAATGTCCCTTGTGTAATGGCAAACTACAGATGAGAAATGAAATTGAAATCAACCCCAAGGGCATCAAATGTAAATGTTCCCCCTGTAGTTTCAAAATCAGCAAGAATGATAAAACAATGAATGTCAAAAAAGATGATGATGGTGAAATTGTTTTAGAAAGTGAAGACCATAGCATCAGTTTCAGTTTTAACCGCCAGATTACACCAGAGGACAAAAATTATTTAAGGAAAGCACTAACAGTCACTAACAATATGATACGGGATGTAATGGCTACTACCCCCAGAAGTAAAGTTAGGACAAATGGCAATAAATGATATGGATTAAAACGATTTAAAGAGTGATATTAACACACTTTGAACTGATAAATAAATAAATATCTAAATAATTATATATAGAAATGCCTGATTTAGATGATAAACAACCTGAAATGGCAGAGATGCTGAACAAGATGACTAAGTATAACAAGAATGTGAAGGTATTGATGGACTTAATGAACAAGGCATTAGAAAAACTTGACATATTAGTGAAAAATAAACCTGCTGAAAATAATCATGCTGATGCTGAAAAAGAAAGGATTGATAAATTCTTTGAGAAAAAACAGGTGGGTCGCCCAAGAGGCAGTTTTGAAGAGAAACAATCTCAATATCTGAAAATGCTAAATGAAGGTCGCGTGAAGCAACCTCAAAGTCAAACTCTTGAGCTTTACAAGATTGAAAGGGATGGTGAATTGTATAAATTAATGGAGTGATAAAATGCGTATCTTTCAACAATAATTTCATATATAAATTATATGAAATGTTAGCGGGACAGGCAGTGTGGGAACTGTCGCAAAAGATATGGGCTGGGATGTTGTGTCATTAGATTTGAAAGGGGCTGATATCAATTGCGACATACTACAATGGAAATATAAAAAAAATATCCAGTGAAATACTTTGATATGATACACGCATCGCCCCCTTGTATTGAATATAGTAGGGCTAAAACCGTTGGTGTGCGAAAAATAGATAATCAACTACTTTAACCCGCGAATATGGCTGATAGAAAATCCCCAGAGCGGGCTTTTGAAGGAGCAGGAGTTTATGAAGGACTTGCCATACTTTGATATTGACTATTGTAAGTATGGCTTTAATTACAGAAAAAGAACAAGGCTCTGAACTAACTTGGACACTTGGACACCCAGACCTCTTTGTAAAAAAGATTGTGATAGTATGGATGGAAACCGTCATAAAGAAACAGCGCAAAGGGCGCCAAGCAATAGCAAAAATACATGGCCGGAAAACTACACTCTTTTTAAACAAAATGAATTGTATAAAGTCCCTGAACCACTGGTTGAAGAAATTATGACAGCAGTAAATGTTGTATGTTTTAGGTAGATGCCACGCCTTGCCACTGGACATACTGTGCCTGCCACTGGGTCAGCTGTTGTGGCGTTGCCTTCGTCAAAGATAAGATAAATATAGATATAGAAATATATGTAAATATATGTATATATATATATAACCCAGTCCCCATTCCCACCCACGGTAGTGCCAGACTGTTTCAAGACCTGAAATCTTGAAAGGGGGGGTGAATGTGCGAGGATAATATTATTTTATGATATCTTGTGTGTGTGTGTGTGTGGGGGTACGTGGGTAAGTTGTATTTATATATCCCACAAGGGATGGGATAAACCCTCCCAAAAGTTGGGTTTGGAAGATTGTTTGGTAGTTTCACTCCTTCTAGTTTCTGGTTGAATTCATGACCAAATGTCGTGCCCCTCCATGCTCTGGTTCAACCTTCTGCTTGACATTCTGTAGCTTGTCTTCTCAACCTCGGGATGGGCAGTTTGAGCCGGTGGAGTGGGAGTGTTGATTGATACACAAGTGTGTTTTCACAGGAATTCGTGTGACTTCCAAATGCCAAGCACTTGCCCAAAACCTGCTTGAACTCTATTTGTCTTCCTCTCTTGGGCATTTGCGGTCTTTGTCATGCTTGCGTTATTGCAAGGCAAAGTGGAATGTTAAACAATTCCAGCCCAAATGACCTTCGTCATTGGCAATCTCACTTCTGCGAGAGTTGCTGGTTGTGTGTGGCGTTGTCACGGCCATGGTCAATGCCAGGGTCGCAACAAATGTCACAATGCAACAAAAGCTTGGGACTCCGAGGATGAGGCTTCAAACATTCGGAGCACGGAACATAATTCATACCGCTCGGGTTCAAACGGCATGGCCTGTGGTGGAGAACTTGCAACAAGCACTGGGCATCGTTCGTCATCATGGCACCGCGAGCAACATGGCCATGTTCGCAACTAATTAACAAGAGCACCAGCCGTAACCAGAGTCCCATGTTCAGTTTCTTCTGGCAAAACGCAAGTTGGCAGGTGACACTGATTGAGCCCAATTACGGAGCATCAAGGTCTACAAAGACCATGCTACGATAAATACTAGTTCAATTCCAATTGCATCAACCTTCTGCACATCATGCTGGCTTCCCACTTCCATACCATCCCATCTGAGAATCCCGACAGCAAGACCGAGAAGGGTACGGTGAAGATGTAGCAAAGGGCGGATGGACGAACGAACGGGAAAAATCTAACCACTACAACAAGTCGTACTAGTGTTCAATCAATAGACAGCTGGCTATTTTTAAGCGTAAAAGAACAACAAGAAACCAATGAAAGTTCAAATGATGATGATGATGATGATGATGATGATGATGATGATGATGATGGTTTTATGATGAGTTATGATAAATTATGATAAATTATGATGAATTATGATGAATTATGATGAACTATGATGAACTATGATGAACTATGATGAACTATGATGAACTATGATGAACTATGATGATGAATTATGATGAATTATGATGAGCTGTGATGAACTTTGATGAACTATGATGAAGTTATGATGAACTATGATGATTTTATGATGGACTATGATGAATTATGATGAATTATGATGAATTATGGTGAATTATGATGAATTATGATGAATTATGATGAACTATGATGAATTATGATGAGCTATGATGAACTCTGACATTTTATGATGAATTATGATGATTTTATAATGAATTATGATGATTTTATAATAAACTATCATGATGGAAAACGGATGATATGCGAAAACTTATGCTTATAGAATTATTGTGTTGTTGTCCACTGTTTTGTTTTTATATTGTTTGTTGCTTGGATTGTTCTTTGTTTGTTTGTTCTTGTTGTTTTGTTTTGGGTATTGTCTTATGTTGTTTCGTTTTTGTTGATTGTGTTATGTATTTTCTATAAGGTGGCACTGGCGCACTTCGGTAATGTATCATGGTATTGTTGATATGGTAGGTTGTTCTGAAATATGGTGTATGTGGTATGTTGTTATGATTTGTTGCTTATCATGTATGAGAATGTATGAGATGTTATGTGGTTCTTAAATGGGGGCAACAGTGTTGGGGGGGAGTATAGATATGTGAAGTGCGTCAGTGCCAAGGTCTAACTGTAACTATATGGCTATTTACGAACTATATAATCAATTTCCAGGAAAGAAATGTCATCTTGAAATTGCCTGCCATATTAACGCCCAACGTGTCAGCGAATCAAGCGGCCAGCGCAGCACGCCCCGAAGAAAGCCGGTGGGTTTGCCATTGACCTTCGGTGGCGCCGGCAACAATGCCTAGGATAGCAGCTACAATTGCTACTGCTTAAAGTCCTGACCAAAATATATATATGCGTGTGTGTGTGTGTGTTACAAACATAGATACCAAAAATTACCAAAATACATATGGATTTATACGTATGTGGTGGAGGGAAAACATGAATTATATGGGCTGTGTATAGACATATGTCATCTATATCGCAAGCAACAGTGACAGTGGGAACTGTTGCAAGCCAATACGTCAGACTCATTTCTGCAGCAGCCTGAGGTGTAATTGGTGATGATGATGATGATGATGATGATGATGATGATGATGATGATGATGATGATGATGTGGTTGGCAATGGTTAATATTGGCTATTAATGGTTATTAATGGTTATCAATGGTTGATGATGATGATGATGATGATCATCATCATCATCATCATCATCATCATCACCATCAGTAGCTTTGGTTGGGAAAGTAATAAGCGACAAGTAAAAAGCATTTTTGGGATGCCAATGGATCCCCAATGGATCCCCTGCCTCTGGGGTGAGGTTGGTCCCGAAGCCAACCACTTCGAAACGGCCCTTCCTGCGCAGGGCGGGCCACAGGGCACTGTCCGAAGCTGACCACGCCATCGGCATCCCCCACCTGTAGTGCCACTTCAGCAGGGAATCAGAGGCAGACCTGAAACAGCCAGCTTGAAACAGCCAAAGTTCACATCTGCCCCGGGATGACCTCCGAGTTTGCTGAATCATGAGAGCTTTGAAGCCCAGGAGCCATTTCTGTACAACTGGACATTGACATTCAGGAAGAAGCAGCCTGGAGCAGCTCATGGCTTGAGAGGGCAGGAAATGCTGGAGAAAATGCAGAGGTGAGAAGCCCGAGCATGGCAACAGTTCCTAAATTCCCAAATGATCCTCTCACTTCGCAGTGAGTCACAGTCGTGAAAAATCACCTCCCTGGACTTGCGGCGAAGAGCACTCGGACTTGAGCACCCCCACATCTTCCAAAGGAACACCGTGTCGCGAAACCACGCCAGCTCTGGAAATAGTTCGAACCTGAAATTCATCCAGCAAACCCCAAGTCCATCCGCCCACAAACCAATTTGTAGCTGGATGGTTTGGTTATAATATTCATTCAAATATTGACAACATATTCCATGTATTGACACAAAAAATATTCACAAATACTATATTATTCATGGGCTTTTCCTAAAATGCTGTGTTTTCCCTCAAATCATCCATATTATAAACCATTTTTGGGGGGAAATTATAAATCCAAAATGCTATTTCCCTAAATCCATGGTTGGTTTTCCATATGATTTTCGGACAAAATCCATTATAAACCACCCATTTCGGTGGATCCCACGACACATTCGCCCAGCGGCAGCTCTGAGCGTTCTCCGGTCAGCAACAGCGGCGCTTCACGACGGGCCGCATCCAAACCTCGCGGTCAATATATATATATATATATTTGTGATTGTAATTGGTTAGTTAAGTTCATTAACTAATTAATCAATATATATATATGTATGGATGTATTATATATATATGGTATACATATATAAGTATAAGTAATATACTTATGTGATGAGTCCACCATTTTCACCAATTCGAAATTTTGATTTTGGCAAATTAAAGATATACCCTGGTTTTTAGACACAAAAAAAGAGGCTGTTCTGGGACCATCACGCTTCCATGGCCCCGCACCCAGACAAAGTCCGATCTGTTCGACCAAAGCAGTATCGCCTGCGAACGAAAGGCGGAATCTTTCCCGCGGAAGTTGTCCTATGAAAAATCAAAACGCCATTCCAAGGTGGAAGGACGGACTGGGAGACTGGACTATCAGCACATAACATATCTAATTTGTAACTACGAGCTACCAGAGTAGGATGTATGTAATGCAATCTGATGGTATCTTCTCACGAATCAAAAGCTCAACATAGCTGGAACTAATGGTCGCGATGCTTGCGGCATCATGGGGTGCTGTGCCCCTCAGCCCTGCCCGTCATCTCGCCTGCGCTGCAAGTCATTGTTTTGTCAAAGGAGAAAATCATGTGATCTTCTGCCACGCATCGGCTCACACCTGGCGGCCATTGGAGCTTGGCTTCCTTTCTGGGCGTCCGAAAATGGAACAAACCATGCAACGCCCGTCCAATGGATCATGATCATGATCATCATCATCATCATCAACCCCTATTAAAACATGCATTAAAACAGCGATGTTTGGTCTGTAACCTTCCTGTTTGCACAAACTCGGCCCACCAAAACGACCCGTGACTGGACTCATCGCCAAGGTACTGTGGAAGTAGTCCAAGACCAAGGTGCGCCTGGACACTTCACAGGCAAGAAAAACATAGATTATGCAACTGTCAATGGAATGATGCAGCGAAAATCTACAGGAAACCATTGTCTTTACCACCAATTATAGCGGGTTCCGGTTTTTTTTCCCTTGAGCCAATGGGAAACTAAGATCTTTAGTGAACATACAATGGGATCTATGTTTTGACCTGGAACATCCTCGCGTGGTGGTATACATACTGCATGCGGCTCGCGTCCCTTTCAATTGCAACTTGATGGCAAAGCTACGCAAAGCTCCTTCAAAATGCGAACTTGGGGTAATTCATGAGCAATTCATGGTGATTCTCAATTGACACAAGATACGAGGTTCATATGCGCAGGATCTGAGTGCCAGCAAAGCTTGGTACTCTGGTGCCACCTTGGCCGAGCTCGGGAGTTCCCAAAATCCATGGAGCTCTCGGGGCGCTCAAAAAAGCCGGAAGAAGAAAAGTCAAGAACCTCAATCACTTGCTGCATTTTTATACAAATTCATAGTAAAAACCCATGGATTTCCAGAGCCTCCCAGTTTTTGTTCTCGTTTGTCTCATTAATCAATGGATTGGTTTAAGGGAAAATCTACAGGAAACCATGGTTTTTACCATCAAATATAGGGCTTTCCTGTAAATGTTCCCATCATCCAATTCTATGAATTAAAAAAAATCCATGGAACTGGAGCCCCTTGCCAACAACAAGGTCTCGGAGGCTGCTTGGAAAGAGCCCGGCTCAACACCTCGGCAGTGGGCTTGGGGTTAGTTCATACCGGGTATGTCCCAATGATGTTACCCCCCATCAATTGGGATCTAATCCTCTAACTATGGTTGTACTGCACCTTGTTTAGAGGGGGAAAAATTGGAAACATTAAAACGTGGACAATCTCGGTTGGAACATCTTGATTTTTGGGGGGAAATCATTTGATATCATTTGGAGGTTTCCTGAAAGGGTACCCCATCAAGTTGATGGTTTATAAAGGAAATTCCCAACAAAAAATGGATGATGACTGGGGGTACCCCTATGACTTAGGAAGCCTCCATTTGGGAGGGACTGGAACTTGCCCTGGAATTGGAGCTGAGCTTCCCGGCCGAAGGCTTGGCAGGGCCCTTGTGCCAGGCCAGCATAGTGCCTGCGGCGTTTGCCACAGACGGATTTCTCTGATTTTTTAGGATGGAAAAAAGTAAAATCACTGGTGAATTCAATCATTCAATGGGAATTCCAGGATCCTAAAATGGAGGTACTGTACCATATAAGGCCATATTTTGGTGGGATATCATGAAGCCATCACAATCCGCATCCAAGTGCCATGGTGATTTTCCCGTTCAGATGGTCCCGTGTTCCACCTGGATGCCAAAGATCCGTGCAAGGAGTCGGTCAAACACCGCCGAAGCAAGGCATCCTTGGGCTTTATGCGCTTGGGGTCAACACATGGTATGTGGCTTATGGTCATCCCACGATTATGTAGTAGGAAGTCCTTGTAATGGATATATGTGTAATATGTGTAAATATATATATACACACACTTATGTATATCTATCTATCTATCTATCTATCTATCTATTTATCTATCTATCTATCTATCTATCTATCTATCTATCTATGTATCGATCTATCTATCTATCTATCTATCTATCTATCTCTATCTCTATCTATCTCTATCTCTATCTCTATCTCTCTATCTCTATCTCTATCTCTATCTATCTATCTATCTATCTCTATCTCTATCTCTATCTCTATCTCTATCTCTATCTATCTATCTATCTATCTATATCTACCTATATCTATCTATATCTATCTATATCCATCTATTTCCACCTATTTCTATCTATTTCTATCTATTTCTATCTATATCTATCTATATCTATCTGTGTCTATATCTATCTGTGTCTATATCTATCTATATCTATCTATATCTATCTATATCTATCTATATCTATCTATATCTATCTATATCTATCTATATCTATCTATATCTATCTATATCGATCTATATCTATCTATATCTAACTATATCTATCTATATCTATCTATATCTATCTATATCTATCTATATCTATCTATATCTATCTATATCTATCTATATCTATCTATCTGTCTCTGTCTCTGTCTCTGTCTGTGTCTGTGTGCGTGTGTATGTAGATCTGTATGTATAAATACGTATATAGAAAGTACAGTATATCTCTATTTATGGATTGATGACCACCCCCCCCAAATTGGGATACCGGTATCCGTTTGAGAAAACACCACATGGTTACCAAAGGCCAGTGGAACCAGCATAATCAGCATCAGCATATTGATTAGCCAATTCAAATGCTGATATATGCTGATATTAACCAACTCATATATGGCAGTTGATCTATATTCCTTTATCTGTAAACGGCCATTCTTCCCAAATCAAAAAATTACTTTCGCGAATCTTTTGCGGACCCCACGGTTATCTTTGGACTGGGTCTCATGTTAAAATCGTTCGCTAAATCTTTCGCCCAAAAATAATTGCTTTCGCGAACTCAGAAAAAGCTGTCGCGGGGTCTCATGTTGGAACCCTGGCGGCCTTTGTAATGGACAATCTCATCTCTGATCATCTCTGACATTTAGATCCACAATCATATACATCAGCATAATCACATCAGCATGCATCAGCATGTTGATTAGCCAACTCAAACGCTGGTATATGCTGATTTTAAGCACATACATAATCAGCATAATCAGGTATATTTAAAGCCGGGCAAATGTTCACACCGAGCCACCATCACGGCCGCCAAAGCTGCAGACACCACCACTCTGGCGCCGTCGGTGTCTCGACGCGCCCGCAAGGTGAAGCAGGCTGCAGCGAAGTGGCGCCTAAGCATGGGAATGTGATGGGATTATGATGAGAAAATGCTGGGAAAATGCTGGGAAACTTGGGATTATATATGATTATATGAGATTGAATGGGGAAATAATGGGATACACACACCGTAAATATCTAAAATCCCATCCCCCGTTCATATGAAACACATCCTAAGGTCCCAGTATGTGTAAATCCCCCTAAATAGATGGAAAGTTGGAAACGAAGCCCCAAAATGACTTGGTTTGCCCAAAAGCTAGGGTGAAACATCATCTTTTTTACATCCTGGAATGTGTGTTCTGTCTTGTTGCGGTTGAAATGTCAATGGGCCGATGGGGATCAAATCTTGAAGAATCTTGGTGTCATCTGAGGCACAGTGATGCCAACGGACTTGTTCGGGTTGCGGTGTCATCACATCAGAGCCGAGCCGAATCCTGGGGGTCTGCAAGACCTTCATCCATCGCTGAAAGACCCCTTTCCTGAGGTCCCGCACGCAATGAGAAAAAGATGTCGCATGAGATCTGCCTCTCCCGGTGCAGTCTTGGTCCCATGAATCAATACAGGCCCCTAGTGACACTTCAAGAGAGCGAACCCAACAAAAATGCGGGAAACCACCTGGTGCATCCTGGTGACAGGAGTTACTGCCATTGCCAACAGTTCAAGTTCAGAAAAGCCAACAGTTCAGCTGCCATAGCTGATGTTCCCCTCCCAGGTCCGCCTTGGTCTCATGTTTCATCTCTTGCATCCAAAAGCATCGAGACTCCTGGCACCAGGGGAGGACCGGACAGCGACTCGCCACAGTGGCTGCGCTGCCAGGTGAGCGGATTTACTGCATCGTGTCATGGGTCAAATCAAGAAATATATACGAAACATATATATATATATTTATTTATTTATAGATGGAAGAAATATGTAATCAGAAATATATGGAAATATCACATCGAAAGTCATGGAGTCATACAGCTTGCCGTCGATTTTCAGAATTTCTCGCCTTGCTGGGATGATCCAATGGTAATGGCATGGGCAACACCTGTGTCCTGAGACGGGGCGCGGTGGATGGATGTATGAAAATGGAATAATGGAATATGAATAGGGAGAGAGAGAGAGATATATATATATATATGTGTGTGTACGCAACAAATTTGATTGAGGGATGTTAAGAGTTATAATAGCAGCCAGAGCTTGAAAATTGAAAATGTGCTTCTAGTCGCATCCTCATAATATGAAACACCACCAATTTTGGGGCCCCAAAATGAACAAATCCAATACTAAATGACCATACTAAACCCATGGTTGCTGGGTGGTATGTAGTACTAGGGCCCTAGTAGCGCCTAGGGGGATTGTGACAGTTACTGCGTGGCACAAATCGCCAGAGATAGCATCATCTTGGCTCCAGACATTAGCCGTGCAATCAGAGCAAATCTGGTCAACGCCTCACACTGCAATCTGGGTAAGCGGTCGTAGAAGCCATCCCCAAACTGAGAGGTTAGATCGGTTGGATGCACCGTGATTTACCACATTGATGATCTGAAAAGGATATTCTGACATTCCTTTTCTTGATTTCTCATTCAGCTTGCTTCATCCAAGTGGACCCATCACTGTGCATCCAAACTGATTGTGAGAGATGCTCCGACTGGTTGCACAGCAAGGACAACCTCAGTGACAGGCGCGCCCAGGATAACATAGTTTGATAACATGTCGGATGTGACATTCCATATGTACATACATGATCATACATGATTGTATGTCTATATGCCGGAAACGCTATACGTGCCTCTCGAAATTGGGCACCCCAGAACCCGCATGTTTTATCATCGTGTTCACAAATTGATATAAATTGGGCATGCGCCATGCGCATACTCCATTTCGCATCCCAAAGATTGGCTTCCCGGCAAATGTACGGCCGCCCGGCAACAACTTGACGCTTCAAACGGATCGCGAAGCGCCTGGCAGCGTCTGAAAATGGTTGGGAAAGCCAATCATATAGATGGATGGTTCGTGCCATAATCTTCCCGATTTAAAATGATTTAAATGGCCATTTCCCTCACCATAGCGTAGCAAAAAATGGGACCAAGCTACATGGCGTTTACCAACAGACAAAGTACTTGGGAATCAGGGGACCTGACGGGACCTGTGCCACGCCATTGTCTCAACTTGTCATGGTTCTAAATTGAAGGACGGTTTATTAATGACAAGACATTGGACACACACACACACACATACATATATATATATATATACATATATATATATATTATAGAAGATATCCATCTCAATAAGGAACATCGAAGACGATTTTGGTGGGCATCCTTTCTGAATGTGTGAGAGTGCTTTGGTTGTCTCCCCCTGCTCTTTCGGAACAAGTCCGCGAATGCTAAATCTTTCTGAATCACAATCGTTCACCTGAAAGAAGATCATTTTCGAGAGATCCCGCTTCCTACCCTCTGGTGAACTAACATAACTATGGAAAATCTCCATTTTTAATGGGAAAATCCACTATAAAATGGCCATGTTCCATTGCTATGTTAGTTCACCAGAGGGTAATTGACAAACATCTGCCGTACGTCTGCCATCTCCCATGTCGCGCACCGTTGGAAGCTCACAGAGCGGCACAGATACCGAGACACGTGGAGGATCCACCTGTCACTAGCGAAGCTACTGTTCCAGTGCTTCATCTGGTTGGTGTTTCACTTGATTCACCATGTTTTTTTTATGGGAAATGACGCATCTTTCAAACCGCCAAGCAGTTAACTGCTTGAGGCAATAGTCCTGGAAAGTAAACATGGTGCTGGGCAGTCCTCGCAACCTCTCACTGTGCAACAAGTTAACATCCAAGCAAACACCGGTGGCATCAAATAGAAATCTCAGGAAGGTAGAAGTATTCGTTTAATTCTCGACTCAGTTCATTAAACAAAAAGAAACGATTCAGCTGGTATTGCCGCCCTAAACAGGGGGAGCAACATCTTATTGAAACCGAGGTTTGAGATGGAACCCAAGCACACCCAGCGTGCAGTGCATTACTGCAGCGACACTGCATCCAATCGCCTCACCCTTCAGGGCTTCCACATCTTGCTCCTCCGCAGACTGTGGGGGCCAAGCCCCCAAAACAGATCCATAAAAGATCCAAAACCATGTTTCAACATGTTTCAACTCCATTTCTTGGGATTTCCCGGGATTTTTTGTTGCCCATAAAACTTGCCCACATTTTTTGGGAAAACTCGTGGCCATCCCGACCCAGCGGATCCCCGGATCCCGCTCCACCAATCGTTCGAAGTCGCTGAAAAGCAACTCATCGGAGCGCAGCTTGGCACTGGCCAAGTCTGGGGAACAGCCCAGTGGCATCGCCTGGAACTTTGAAGACAATCTGATGGCTACCCGGCCTGGTAAACATACAAAAACTATTGAAAATGGCCATAGAAATAGTTGATTTACCCATTAAAAAATCGTGATTGTCCATAGTTATGTTGGTTTACCGGAGGGTATCCAGCCAAATCAAACAACAGATCTATCATTGGATTCCTCGATCAAGAGGCTGATCCAATCCTCCGATTCCAATTGCGGATCTGCCTCCCGGGGCTGCCAGTTCGCAAGAGCCTCTCAAGTTTTTTGCAGGCTCAGCTGTTTCAGGAAGCCAGGGAAGTGATGGTGACCTGTTGTGGTAAAGTCCCACAGCATTGGCCCAGCTCTTTTCCAGCCATACTTCTTGAAGGCAAAAAAAAAGATCCAAATATATATATATATAGATAGATAGATCGAAGCACTGATTGCTGATGGAAGTTCTATTCCATTCCATCAGCTAAACTTGCTTTTTAAGAAAAAATGGGGAGTCCGCATTGCCATGTCGGCTGTACCAATAAAGCTCAGAGCTCCACATGCTCCTGCCTGCGTGTCTCTCACCAATGTTCGAAGGGAGTCCATCTCCCAGTGCCGATACCCCTCTCCAAACCTGACGTGCGAAGCTTGCTGGACCTAGACTACTGTGACTGCTTGGATGATTCTCATGACATTGTTGGATTCTGAGAAGGCTTTGTTCATAGTTTTTTCCTGGATCCAAGTGTTTTCCAAAACCTTCACACAACATCTGACACAGCCGCTGGCCAGAGCCTGTCCACCTGGGCCAAGGGCAACAAGACGTGTGGGACCTATCCAGTTCTCCTATTGGACATCTTGGGATTGAAATTGAGCAAGAATTCCGTAGCATCGTCATCGTCATCATCATTATCAGCAGCAGCATCATCATCAATCCCTCTTAAAATATATGTATTCAAATCTCATTGTTTGCTCTGTATATAACCCTCATTTTCGCACAAACTCGAAATGGCTCATTTCTTCCGGGAAAGAGAGTCCTCTGTGGCTGTCCTGCAGGTGCCGCCTTTTCGCCAAATGGAATTTGTCTGGCCACCAGAGCATGGCCGGCCAGCAATAACGATCACCCCTGGTGCAGTGACCTGTCCATGTCCTATAGGGGAATCCCTTGGCCAAGATTTCTGAGTCCTGAGAGTCTATTGATTAGGAGGGGTACTCCCCCAATAGTCAGAATATGTCATAATCTGATACTTAAATGGTACCCGCCCAATTAAACAGCCTCGGGCTTATTAATCCGGGGTTGACATTACTGAGATCTCCAATCATCAAAAGACTCACATGCAACTGGAACAGTGAGGACCTGAACAGAGCCATTTGCACAGCTTCCCCTGCACCGTGTAAACTCAGCGAAGTTCACCGCTGCACTTTAAGCAGCCGGCGCTAAACGCAAGGTATACTTTGCCCTTGCAAGGTGCAATGCTATCAACATCAGCGATTCGGAATTGTCCACAATTTGCTTTATCCAATATCTATATACATATCCAAAAGTATAGGGGAAAAAAAAAATATATATATATATACAGACATAATCATAGGAGCAGATGTTAGATATTGGATATCTCTGGATTTTCAATCGCCCCCCAGGGTGGATCCACCACGGCCAGCGCCGTCAGAAAGGCCGCCAAGCAGATCTGGGCCGTAAAGGCGTTGCCCGCCATGTCGCTCAGCTGCACGGGGCTCAAGCATTTCTCCTGGCCGCAACGGCGCAACGTGGCGAAAACGTGGAGAAAACGTGGAGATCAAAGCCAGCACCTGGGGATATCCATGGGAAGATCTATGGAATCTATGGGAATACGATGAATTTTGCAAATATCGGGTTGGAGAGAGACTAAGGGGCAGGTGTTGAATTCGAAAAGCGTATCAAAACCAACCAAATACCCTTCGGTCATAAAACATTGCATGAATGAGTGAGTGAATGAATGAACTGATGGATGGATAAATGAATGAACAAACGATACAGTGAGTGAGTGCGAGAATAATTTAAATGAATGAATGAATAAATAATATGCAATTATATCTGATATGTCTATATATGTCTATATGTGTCTTACTTATACGTAGGTTTATAATGGTTGATCCACCGGCCATCAATTTGGCTGCCCTCCGCTCCATGCCGTAGCCCTCGATCTCTGCAGGACCAACCCCTTGGAGGAAGCACTTCTCGCGGGTGCCTCGCAACGTTGTAACGTTGAAATGTACATGGCACCTGCAAATGAATATGGATGGATCATGATGGATCCACATTTGCATATTTCATCATAGTTCATCATATTTCATCATATTTCATCATATTTCACCATTGTCATGGGACCGAAGGCTGCTTGTATGTACTTCTATGCCTTATAACATGAGTGTGTGTGATGCGATGATGGAGCAATGTAGACATTGAGATAAGCAGCTGCGCCACGCTCGGGCCAATGACTAAGTTTTGGGTCGGTCAACCGCAACGAAGAAGCGTACATGCTTCAAACAGGGTCAGGTCGGGACTATATAATAGCAAGGTAGAAATAAATTATGCACATAGTAAGGTAAAAGGATAGCATGCACGTAGTAATCGGATCCCTTTCAGTCCCCTTTGAAAACTCGTTTTTTCTTCCAATTCACCTAAGTCTGACCCAAGTCTGACCTAAGTCTGAGCCGGCCTAGAAGCCTCCAGTGGGATCCAGTGACCACATACTTCCCCTTAGGGATGATGCAGGGAGCCACTCGCGCGTCCGCACGGTGGGAACGCCCAAAGTTTTGATCCACCTGAATCACCTGCCAGGCGGCGCGGGGGGTTCTTCCTGGGGCGGAAATGACCAGAGAAATGGCAGGTGATATGGAAAAAAACATGAAAAATCTGGAAAAATCTGAGGAGAAAAATAGAAAAAAATGGACAATGATGGTCTAGAATTCTAAAGCATAGGAATGGGGTACCCAATTTTTCGACAAGCTCAGGGTGATGAGATGAGTGGAGTTGGTGTCTTTCTTGCCCCGCATCGATCTCTGCAATGTTTTACCCATCCTAACCCACCATATGGCCACCGAGTATCCACAGTGTTCTTCTCCAGGTCAACACCGCGACCTTCCAGTTGATAAGCTGCGAGAGCCACAACATGTAGCCTCACAGCGCCGCCCCAGTGACCCCAGTGACCCCAGTGACCCCAATGATGATGGAGGACAACGACAGCAACGATGGCCTTTTCATTGCGAAATGTTAGGTGGGTGGCTGCAACAAAGCCAAATCCTGTCCTAGCAGCATGGCCCTTGGATCCAAAACCAAGGAAAAGGCATCGCGCAAATGACTATACTAATCAATTTTTGCCTGAAACACCCAAAAAAAACACCAAGACAGTCTTTATATCTACATATTGTACTGGATTTACAGTATTTACACATATTTGGGACCATTTTTTGGGGGGCTAAAGCGGCTAAAGGTTGGGAGATCCTGCCCAGCAGCTCTCTGCTTGTCAATGGCAGCTTTCGGGTCACCACCTCCGAAATTTTCCGCTGGAGTCTTGCCTGGCGCACTTTGCCATGGAAAAGTGATAGAAAGGTGATGGAAAAAGTGGAAAAAGGCCATGTTGAATAGGTAAAGAATGGAAGACAGCTTCCATTGTCATGAGATGTGTGTGTGTGTTTGTCTCTTTTCAGTGCATTTCATACTCTGCTTGTAATGTGGAAACCGGATCTGTTGTTCCCAAGGAGGCTACAAGAAGACTCCAGCTCCCACAAGAACGTGGACAAGTTGATTTACAATCTCTAGCAGCTAGTCACGCCTCTGAACCAACATGCTCAAGTCTGATCAACCATAAAAACACTCGCATGCCACTACACTAACTCAACCTGCTTGGGGATGAGATCATCTCAACCATCCTTTCACATTTGATTGATGATGATGATGATGATGATGATGATGATCCAGGGGTTGGTAAATATCCTCATTAAACTCACCCAATGGGATATCATCTCCAATAGCTACTTCTTCAAGTGATCTTCAAAATGCATCAAAATCCCCAACAAAAAAGAAACAGGACATACCCTCTGGTAATTCAACAGTATTGAAGCCATGGCCCATAGAAATAGTTGATTTACCTATCTTTAGATGGCGATTTTCCAGCTCGCAAACTGTGAACGTTTACCAGAGGGTAACAGGACATTACAGGACTAGAACATCATCGAACATCACATCATCCTTCCAACGTTTCATCGGACTGTCGGACCGTGCCTGATCCAAGCAGCTGCTGAGCTGCTCAAATTGACCCATCCATTTGGTGCCTCCTTTGGGCCTCATTGGCCATGACCTGCACCGGCCAGGGAGACCACCGAAAAGGAGTTCCAACTGAGTAACTGTGTAAATGGACAATGCCAAAAAAAAGATCCCAAGTATAGTATTATGGATTAATATCAATCATAATCCAAAAATCAATCATAAATATCAATCAACTATAAATGGATAATGGATTATGATGATTGATATTTATAGTCAATTATTCCGATGATTCCTCGAGATAATGTATACCCAGGTTCTTTGGACAGTCATTTTCAGAACCTCAGCACGATGTTTTCCAGACCTGTCGGTTTTGTGGCCCTCGGCTAAGATCTGGCTTATGGGCATCACGTTGCATTTGAAGGACCTCAGGATGCCAATTGTTTGGATCCTCCGGAGGCTTTTCGGGTGCAGAATCCAGTAGTTTTTTTGCGTCCCATTTCCGGGGACGCGTAGGTAGAAATTGAAATATATTCAATTTCAAAGTCTGAAGTGTTCAGTGCGCAGAGGCACGCTCATCTCCTCATGCCTGGACACTAGTTACCAGTGCTTGGAGCTGCTGGGTTGGATTGCTGCCACAAAGATAGACATTTGCACCCTGTCCGCATCCAGAATCCCAGAGATCCATACAGGTCTCATCAGGGGCATCCCCGATCCACAAAGGTCGGCACAAGAAGATCCTGGAGGCATTGCCGTCAGCAGAACGGCTCTTGAAGTAAAGACTCCAAGAGCGTTGCCGACTTTGAGGTGGCCCAAACCTGGTGAAAAATGGAGCACCAACACGGGGCATCCAAAAACCCTCCTGCAAAACTGACCATTGGTTGATAGTTGTCACTATTTTTGGTGGTTGGTTGTCACTATTTAAGTGGTTTGTTCACTATATGTAAGCGATTGGTTGTCACTGTTTTAGTGATCAATTGTCACCAGTTTGCGATAAGTTGTCTCTGTTTTAGTGATTAATTGTCACTATAAGTGATTACGTAGTTGTCACTGTATAAGTGATTAGTTGTCTCTTTTTTGGTTACTAATTGTCACTGTCGTTGTGATTAGTTAGGTTGCCACTGTTTTAGTAATTAGTTTTCACTGTTATTTACGTCATTAGATGTCACTCTTTTGTTGACTAGTTGTCACTATCTTTCTATATGTTCAAGTGATTAATTGGTTGTAGTGATCAATTGGTTCTCATTGGTTCTGATTATTAGTGATCCCATATATAATATATATGTATGTGTGTGTGTATACGTATATTTATATAACTATGTATCCCAAAAAAAACACCCACAACCCCCTTCCAGCTGATAGCAAGGAACTCGTAGGAGGAGACCCGGTGCGAGGCCGTTGCGAAGCCTCGCTGCCGAAAGGCTGCATCTTGGATCTCGATGGGCCGACGGAACGCATCCTCCCGGGGTTTAACATGGTTTAACCATCAACAAATGGGGATTTCATGGGACTGAATGGGAATATCATCGCAATGTCAATTCGCACAAACCACTGAGCTTGCAAAGTCGCAAAATAGATCACGTTCGTGAAAGATGCATGAGATTGTGATTTGGCGTATATAGTTTTACCCATTTTCAGACAAACCGACTCCATCTTTCATGAAATCAGCTCCGTGCCCGCCTGCTTCCGTTTTCGCCACATGTTGCCACTGTTCTCAACGCCCAGGAAGAGTAAATGATCATCGCAACGGTCCACCAGCTTCAACATGTTGGCATAACCTGCGTTTGGCACAACAGTAATGCCTTTTTTTAACCAAAGTACCCTCTGGTAAACGTTTACATAACTGTGGGAAATCACCATGTTCAATGGGTAAATCCACTATTTCTATGGCCATTTTCAATAGCGAACTGTGTCCATTTCTTGGCGCCTAGGCGCTATACTCCCATCCCTCTGATAATCTACCCCCCATACCCAAAATTCATCCAATTCAAAACCACTGTTTGTTTAATGGTGGTATCTATATTATATCAAAATCATAAGGATTAATAGGGAAAGGGGATTATATATATATAATCTGATATATACTTACATACCTGTATATCCATATGTATACATATATATATATACATATATATATATATATCTGTAGGTTGTTATGTACCGGGCATGTTCATACATTTTCTTTCACCCTAGCGCCTTTGCCAGTGGCTGTGCTGGTATCCATGAACTGCCCCTGTCCAACATTGAGGCTGGACAAATCCACACAAGGGTAGCCGACGAAGCCCAAATCCAGGTCTGTTGGCACCAGAAACTTTTGGCCTGTGCCAGCGGGACGGGAATGTTTGGCAGAATGCCCTCTGGTAAACTAACAGAACATATGGAAAATCACCATCAATAGGTAACCAACTATAAATGGGTCGTTTTCAATAGTGAGTCACCTTTTTTTCACGTATCTTGTCAAGTGGAATTTTGCGTCGTGAATTTGTACTAACAGTAAAATCTGGTGGGCAACATGCACTCAAAGGCCTGGCTGTTTGACTGCGACACTTTTTGGGAAACGAAAAGTTGGATGAAAGTATGTTTGTGCCTGTTGATACATTTCTGATCCAAAAAGTATGCCTCATAAGATAGGAAAATCAAATTTCAGCATCGTCCGCCAAAGCCTATGTGACCTCAACCTATATAATATACTGTATGTTTATGACTTTTTTCCGCTGCCGCAAGCAGCAATCCCTCCAGGCCACTAGCTTCCCCATGGCACCTGTGCGATAATCATGCGCATAGCCATCAGCCACTTCTGAGGCATCTGTGAAGATGTAGCCAACATCCCTGGGATGTAGCGGAGGTGACCATTCTGATCATCTGATCCCTCCAAATCACGTTTTAGATGTTAGTAGACATTACGGCTTCCGCTTTATATACATGTTGAACTTAAGAATGGCTTGGACTTTAGACGCCATAAGAAAATAATCGGCCAAAACATAGGGATCTGGGCCATCCTTCTGAAAGGATCTGGGGAGGGCTGCGCTCTGCACAACACAAATCGCGATTGCCAGGCGAGATTCTGAAAGGCGGAGGCCAAATATTTGCACTTCTCCCGGTTGGATTCGCAGATCCATGCCACTTCAAACCTGCGCTCACAGAAACTCAGCAGAAACCTTCGGTTTTAACCCCAGGCATCATGATGCATCATGGCATCTGTTTGCACCTTGTCAAGTATTAGTCCACTCTTGCTTACCACATGTGCTGCAATTCCTGCAATCACGGAATTTGCCATGTGTTGAAGGACAGTTTTATAGGACCCCCGACCTCCATGTTTGATGGAACAAAACATGCCAAAATATAAAGTTTCTCTTCAATACTGATGGCCTTTCCCCTTTCAACATGTTGAACATCTGGACTTCCTACCATCTTCTCTTGGCCCAAGCGACTCCATGTCAATCCCCAGGCGCTGTAGCTCTCGGCCCACGGCATGGGTTACCATCTCCGCTGTGCCCCAGCCGGTGTACATGGAGAAGACTCGCAGGGGACCTCAGCTTGGAGGTCCGTCAGGAGCCTTGTTGGGACGAGGGATCCTTGTGTCCATGCCAGGTAGTGATATTTGATATGTGTGATGTGTATTATATACATACATGTATATATTATATATAATTATATATATATTGGGATATCACCAGTGACCTATGAGATAGTTATAAGAGTTGACTCAGGGATATATGAAATATCCATATTGTGCTATCACCAGTCATGGCATTATGGGCTATTCATCAGTTACAAACGCATGCTGAGCCAAGTAAGATGTTCTAAGGTACGCGAGTCATAGATCCTCGCGGCTTCTAACAGTGACATGGAAGTGTCATGAAGGCAGCCCCCTTGGGGATTTGGGCAGGTGAAACCAAATTTTAAAAAAAAGTGCCAGCCCCCCTACCCAGCCGAGTTACGTGCCCATTTTCTGCCATTCTCCCTGATCGCCTAGGGGTCAAACCAAAATTTGGATCCAAAAAAATTACTCGGCAAGTCTTCGGAAACTCTTGAGAACAGGGCCACCAAACAACCCGCAAAATTGGCAGTCAGGAGTTCACCTCCTATAATTTGTAGACCATTCTACATTTTTTTCAGATATGTTCAGATGCAAACTGTTGGATACGAGGGTGAAACGGCCCATTTCCACAACAGGTCTAAGAAACGGCCCAAGCCCATTCCATCCCTTGGATTTGATGACCTCACCACACCCCACACCAATCCACACCATCTATTCCTTGTTGTCTCCGATAACAGTTACTTTGTGCATCACAATTGATGTCTATTTATATATATATAGAAAGGTAAACAATCCGACTAAATTAAATTGGTGATACATCTGCCGTACCTATAGCCTTTTCAGCATCTCTTTTTGGTACTTTTCCACAGCCCCGCCTCCAACACCTCAGGGCATCGCTCCAGGTTCCACCGTGCAAAGCCCTGCACCGAGGGCACCGCCATGGGCGGCTCAGCCGCGGAAGGCGGCGCCGGCGCAGGCGCCTTCCGCGGCGTGTCGGAGACGTCGGAGATCTCATCATCTGAGAGCTGGTCAGGGAGCCTGGCTGAGGACTCTTGTCTTGGGGGGGAAACTAGTGGAAATAGTTTGATGAAACTGTCGGAACCTCTGCCAGATTTGAACTCCTGATTTGATATATTTGATGAAAAGCTTTGAAACACCAGGTGGAAGAACTGAGGTGGCAGATTTAAAGGGATGGACAACTCCGGTTTAGGTTGGATGTTGGGTTTTTCCATCAGCTGCGCCATGATCACTCCCCACAGCAGGCCTTGCAGTTGAGAACCCTTCAGTGGCTGCCTTCCGCTTTTTCCGCAGTGGACCCGCCATAGCATGTCGCCACAGGCATCCACCAAAGTACCAAAATGATCTAAAATGAGTATATAAATAAAACTAAATCGTGCTGTGGACACATGCAATCCTTAAAAATCGCGTTCACCTCTTCATCGCAACATGTTACTTCAATTACGTTCGTTCTATGGTCAGCTCACATCCTTCCAAGATGCATGGCGTGGGTTCGCTCTCAGTGACTCATGTTTCCAGCTGGGTCATGCAAATTGTTTAGCTTGCATCATGTTGTTTCTTAAGCCTCCGTGGTCTAAAGATGTCTAAAAGGCAGAACCAGTGCTGACCTGGCAGAGCAGAACAAGGTTTCCACATGGAATCATGGACATCTTTTTTAAATGGCCACACGGAATCATAATGGCTGAAGCATATCATCCGTATCATCTTCCGAACCGATGGAGCTCCATGAAATAGATTTCCCACCAAGCTGCATCATCTGCTCTCGGGCTCCCGGGCATGTTCAGCAGCAGCACCTAGGCAAAAATCATAGGTCAAACGGTCAAACCCCTTGGACGCCAAAGCAGCTGACGCCAAATGGCAAACGCTTGGAACTGGACGAGCCAAGTGTTCCGCAGCACGCTTGGCCATAGATGACTCGGCCGCCTCCGGTGATCAAAGCATACCAGGTATACCAACACATGATGGCTCTTTACCGATCGGAGATTGTGGATTGATGTTTTTAAAAGGCCGAAACATGCGAAATATCTCGAACAATGGGGTTCCCGGTCATTTTTCCCACGAACCAATGCTACCGTGGTCGTATCTAAGCGCTTCTTGGCGCCTGGGAGGCGGTCTGAAATGCGCTGCTGATAGCCCCTACAACCTGGACGCAGCTGTGTAGTGGATTTACACCCCGAGATATGGCCATTTTACTGGCAAAAAGCCTCTCCCACAACTGGTGGAAAAATCTGGAGATGACCATGGTTTCCTCTTAAAGCAATCTGTATATGAGTAGGAACTATGGAGAAAATGCGGAAGTCTATGGTTGAATTGGGATATCCCCTTCCCCTACTTTCTGGTCAAACCCATGCCAGGTTCCACAAACATAGCATTCCCCCAAGCAATAGGCATGAAAGGCGTTCTTTTTCAGACTTCCATGTGGCGTGCCCTTCTTGAAGGAGGAGGCAACATCGAGCGTGTTCTTGTTGAAACGGAGAGTCATCCAAATTGCGAGGGCGTTCAACGCTGTTTAAGAGCTGAATAGGTAGGTTGCGAGATACGACAACATAGTAACCCCCAAAATATACAAAAACGATTTATCACTATTTTATTGTGTTTTTCCAGAATCTATATATCTTTTTTGGGTGTTGACTATATACATCAAATTAGTTCTCCAAGTCTCGAACGAAGCGCCGTAGTTGGACCTGGAAATGACCACAGCCCTCCAACCCCCATAGCTGACAGAGTCTATTAGTTACTGTTAGTTGGGTAGGAGGTTATGGATGGTTATGGTATTGTAATGGTTGAAAATTAGATCTCGAATTTCTGCCCCCATGGCCCCCCATCAAACCAGCAATTTCATGGGTAAAAAACGAGATTGATGGTGGAAAAAATGATCTTCTCCTGCTGGTCAGCGACAAGGGTAAGTGTCTCCTGAATCGAGAGTATATTGGCAATTGGATTTAGAGCTGCAACGTGGATCTGTTTATGTTAAAGGAAAGTGGATCGCGAGGAATCTTGGAAAGTCCAGATTTGGCCCGCTTCGCACTCCAATATTTGGAATGGTTCATTCATTCAACATAGCAGGACATGCCATATGGATTGAGATGTGCATATATGATCAAATCATCTTAGATGTAGCTGTAGCTATGTACGGATCCCAGTCACTTCTTCAATCAACCCGCACAGAAGCAGTTCGGCCTCTTTTCTGCAGCATCTACTGTCAGTTGGTGTCAGATGGGTCAGAAAGACTAAAGCACCAGAACCTCAGAACATGGCACAAATGTGATGTAAACGGGTAAATGGATGATGTGAACGGCGCGTGTGTACGAGGTCCAGCCGATATCGCAAACCCCCGTGGGGACCATGGACAAAGGCCTGGAGGTTCATAACGACGACCACCAAGTTCTCTACGTTGCCGCCGGATTTGTGGTTGTCCGGGTTGTCCGGGTTGTCCAGGTTGTCCGCGAGCTACCCAAGTCATGTGGACGATGATCAAGTTTCAACTGCGCTCATGTTGTCTTTGGCTTGGAACATCAAGGCCCTTCGAGATCTATCGCACTGGTGGTGCAACAAGAGAGGCGTTTCCGCTTCTGGTTTCTCTTTGCCCTCGTTGGGATGTATACATTTGCCTCAGATGGGTCCTGCCCAATGCAGTTTCAGCTTATATGGAATCAAAAAAATGTAAAAAGACATCTTTCCCGCAAAGCTGTTGAAACCTTCACCCAAGTTTCTTGAAGCTTTGTGCTGCAAGATGAACATCTCCGAATTTCCAGTCGCCCTCAAGACCCGAAAGATCTGCAGGTGTCGATGAATCCGATGGCACGGTGCCAAGAGCAGTTGAGGTTCCGCCATCTCAGCAGATGGAGCAGCACACTGGTCACCGAGCTTCAGAACAAACTCACCCAAGAAGACCTCACCCTTGGCAAAATCGGACATGTTTGGAACAGAACTGCCAACATTCAACTCTTCTCCCCAGAATTTCCATTCATTTCTAAATATGAGTTATGTAAGTAAATAAATATGTATACATATATATTTATATATATATATATAAACGAACAAATACATAAATTTAAATGAATAAACGAATAAATATAATATATATATATATCCCGATGTATCTCAAGTACCATTTCCCAGCCCCCGCCCAGCCACAGCCTCCTCCATTGCGTCCGCTTCCACCAGCCGTACGTTGAAGTCCCCACAGTCCGCCAGCTGCAGTAAGCCATTTCCAGGTCGCAGACACAGTCCATTGAAGTGACCTATGTTGAGTTCAATGTATTATGATATACGGTGATATACGTATAATATATGTATAATATACGTATATATGTAATTTATATATATATATCATATATATATATATAAGTATATAATTCATATAATTAAATGTATAGTGTATGTATATACAGTATGGTATGTTCAATGACACCTGGCTCACCTGTCAAATTCTGCCAAATCCAATTCAAACACATTCTCAATGCAACTTGAACAGCAAGTTCAAGGCTTGTCATGCAGCATGATCCAGTGCCAAGCAACGCAGAAGCAGCCCTTCTTTGGCAGCAGCCATTTCTTGAGCTGACATATTTCCTCCGTGCAATTGTCAACAGCAAGTGACGGACGGAACACATCCGAAATCTCCCCGCAACATTATATACAGTGGGGAATTTCAGCACCTCCCAAACTTAGCTATCAACAATCAGCGATAAATCCCATTAAGTCAACTTAGCTATCAACAATCAGCGATTAAATTCCCATCAAGTCAACTTAGCTATCAACCACCAGCGATTATTATCCCATTACATAAGTCAACTTAGCTATCAACAATCAGCGATTAAAATCCCATTAAGTCAACTTAGCTATCAACCATCAGCGATTAAAATCCCATTAAGTCAACTTAGCTATCAACAATCAGCGATTAAAATCCCATTAAGCCAACTTATCTATCAACTTGGTCATCCTTTACAGCTGGAATGTGTTGCAAATGCCTCACCACGCACAGCTGTCCGGTCCATTGTTAACTCATCTGGGCTTTTTGGCCCGTGTTTATTCTTGCAATATGAATGTGACCGAAAATGGGGATACCCCATTATATTGCTATTTGAGTATGGTGTCAATATAGTTATATACCACAGTACCCATCCATCTTTGGGGGTATCCCACTTGCAGACAAACTCATATTGTGCAATTAAGCGTCTGATGCGCTGCAGCCGCTGTTCTTGCGCCTGCTTCCTTCGTTGCTCACGAAAGCGAAGCTTCTCGCATTCATTCCTGTCGCTCCCCCGCTCCTGGGAAGACAAGGTTGACAAACCCTGACCATTGGGGGGTGTGCCCCCAAAGTGCCGATAGATTGCTGTTAATATTGGTGCCCCTTCCCTATTATTGATAAACCATCAGAAGTCCTGGGCTAACATGTTGTCCAAGCCTCGGCACTACAATAAAGCCCTTCCAACACTACTTGTGGTTACGAATATCCCTGCAATCGTCAGGTCAGGTTCTCTCATCCAATGGTCGGATGAAACGATGGGCTGGGTGCTTTTCCATATTTCTCATTATATCACCGAAACATCCTACATGTTACCCGCACTCTTTCTAATACCTTCTACCCCCTGCCCCACCATACCAAACTACCAGTCACTACCAGTTCCTTGGTCGGCTTGTGGTGCACCCGCACGCGTTCACAATCGAAGTCCTTGCGGCAGCCCCAGCTGGTCTGGTAGTTCCAGAGGCACCGATCCAGCTGGGCTGGCTCGAAAACGCCATTCCTGGGGTCCATCCACGGCCCAGGGATGGATTCGCTTGGAGAAAAAACAAGCGTTGCATGTTTTTTTTGCGGGAAAAACTGGGTGTCAAACCTGAAGTCTTCCAGAAGCTCTGTTCGTACTTGGCACCCAGTTTCATATGGATACAACCATAGCTCCAGCTCCCTCCCTCCACTGGATGGACCAAGGACCAAGGTACTGCCAAATACCCGCAGCCTCCAATGCTTTCTTGGCGGCTTCGCTCCTAACTGGGCGCGCCTGCCTAGTCACCTGTTGAATGATCATTAAAATGATCAATGAATGAAGGGAAAATCTACCGGATAGCTGCGGTTAAAAAAACCCTGAATCCATTGATCAATCATTGATCCCTGACATGGTATCTGGGATCCCAGTGGATCAAGTCATTGGCTTTCCGTTTGTCCATTTTTCCCATTGAAAAGTGAGGCCTTCCAGTCCTGGAGTAGTAGAGGCTGTAAAAGAAGCCCTGACCACATTCTCCTCCAGGGACGGCGGTAAGCTGAGTCCCTGGATCTTAAAATATGATATGATCCATATCTGGAAATATAATAATATATGATCCAAT